GAAGTTATATAAGAGAAAACCCAGGCAGATCTTGGGGAAACTACAGTAAGGGTTTACATATTTGTCTACTGCCTCAACTGACTCTCAAGGTCCTTCTGGTCCTCTGATTCTTGGATTTTGCTAAAAGTTCTAGTCCAATGTAATGACCAGCAAACAGCCTGATGGCCTTATCTTCACTTATCTTCATCTTGTAATTTCATTTTTCCCTTTCAAATGTATGAGTGTGTGCGTGTGCACACACTCCTGACTGATGGGCTATCATTCTGGCTGTATAGATTTTACTTACAATTTTATGCATGTGCTAACTCCCAGTGACACCCAGGGGAGCCATCTTTAGACCGTCTTGATTAGCAGATGTTGCCCTTGCTATGTAATAACAATCTAATCACCACTTCCCCTTGCCAAGAAATGAGAAAAGCATCCTCGTTTGGAAAGCAGCTCTAACACATGAAATGGATTAAGAAGGGCTGTCTCCCCAGAGTCCCTGCAAGCATTCCTCATCGTAGTTTGTTTTTCTTAACGATAAAAACTGCACAGTGGTGTTTGGAGTTCGTTCTAACAAGCGCCTGGCTTGCATGACAAGATTTTACTTGGGCTGCCTCAACTTTTTTACATGTAAATTATGTTGTAAGAAATCTTGGGCATGGGATGATGTGTGTAGCCCATGTTTAATTTTCCTCTATTTGAGAATATTTCACTTATTTTTTAAATGGCAAACTATGATTGGTGGGTAGTTAACATGCAAAATAATGTTAAGTTCCCAGGAACTCTGGGAAATGTAGGAAGGTGGCTCACATCTGAGCACCTCTTCTCTGGAACAGAGAGCTGGATGGACTCAGTTAAGAAAAACTCAAAAGTGCATGCTAGTTCTTAGTTAAGCTGGTGCGGAAGTGGCCCATGTTCATCCTGGGACTCGGCACTTTCCTCGAGCCTTCTGAAACATACCAGATCACTTGGACATCATTTCATCTTGTAAAAGGTTATCCAAGAAAAAGTCCAGATTACAGTGTCCATCTGTCACCCTGGCACTGAGGGGCAGAGACATGAAGATGCCTGGAGGTCACTGGCCAGCTGTTTTGACCCAATCCATGAGCCCCAAGTTCTTTAAAACCCTAGTTTGTAAAGAAATACATGCATATATAAATTACAATCTTGACGTCGGCCTCTAGTCTCCATATATGTGTGTGTACGTACATACACATAACCACAAACCGCCTCCCTGCTTCTCTCAAAAGAAATAATGGAAGCAGAAAAAAACCTGTTTGCACAGTACAGAGCCTTTCAAATGGTCAAAACGTGGACAGTATCCAAGTGTAATATTGTGAATGAAGAGAGAGGCTGAGAGTGAGGATGGTACCGTTTATTAGGATCTTTCAAATGTCTTAGAGTATGTGAGGAGCTGTATCTATGCTGTAGCTCTTGCATACAAGTACACTAAAACCTCATGCTTAGATGCTGTTAGATCTGAGTATCAGAAACATATGTTTTCCCCTCCACCCAACCTACTCATGTGTCACTTCAGTGTCAAACAGCAAGCAGCTTTCTAAAGAGTGACTACACGTATCTCAGTTGGTAATAGCCATAAAGTTGTAATGAGCTTTCTATATGGCTGACATTCCTTTTGGTTGCAGGCATCTTGGACCGTTTTCTATGCTGTGGAAAACTAGGCTGAGTTTCAGCTCCATAGCAGTATCAAGGTGGATCTTCCGGTCATCACCATCAAAGTGTTCCACATGAGCTTCCCTCAGTGTGATATTTTAGTGGGAGATATCGGGAAATTATGTCTAATTATGTCTTTCAGATCGATACTGTAAACTATCACTGTGGAACACTTCTGGTGTTGACATAGATTTCTGTCCCACCCAGTCCCACAGCCATTCAGTCAAAGAAACACACAGAGGTAGTCAAAGAAACACACAGAGGTCTATGTTAATTATAAACTGGTTAGCCTATTAGTGCAGGCTTCTTGTTAACTCTTACATCTTAAATTAGCCCATAATTCTTGTCTGTTTAGTCACGTAGCTTGGTACCTTTTATCAGTGAGGCATTCTCATCTTGCTTCCTCTGTGTCTGGGTGACGACTGCAGACTGAGCCTTTCCTCTTTCCAGAATTCTCTGTTCTGGTTGCCCCACCTATACTTCTTGCCTGGCTACTGGCCAATCAGCATTTTATTAAACCAGTACAAGTGATCAATTTTTCCAGAGTACAAGTCCATTGTCCCACAGCATTCTGGCACAGTGGCCATTTGCTGTTTGTATAAAGTCCCACTTCCTTTAATGAATGAAAATCAAGGTAAGCTCTTCTTAGTTAGCTTCCACTACATCATGGCAAGGGTTACCACTTGAGCCAGTGGTCCTCAAGCACTCCTGAGTCAGTGATCTTCATGCTGCTTAAACCTGGGGGTAGTGTGTTAACTTGATGGAACTTCCTGGACAGTGGGGAGGGGTTATCACAAGCCTATGTTTTAGTATTGTGTCAGGATAGGGATTTAACTCTTCTCAGGGCCCCTCCCTGGGAAGGGCATAGTCACATGACCTTGCTATGGGGAAAAAAAAGAAATTCCTACTTCTAGTGTCAAGCTCTCTGTGCATGGTTCTGACAGGAGGTGACTCATGCAATGCTAGTCAATGGTAAAGTTGTTTGGCTGGTTGGGTGGGGAGTTTGTCTTCTAATAAAGTATACTGAAGAAGGAGTCAAGTTTATCTACTTTAGGAGGACAAGACAGGCAGAAAAAAATAGGCATAGAGAGTGAACTTTTATCTTTTTGCTCAAATCTGTTTCAAGACTATCTTGACACTATTTCTTTCCATGAGTGTGCATGTGTGTTTCACCTGCATCCTTCTCTGTATATCACATGAATGGTTGGTGCCTTTGGAGGCCAAAAAAAGAGCATTGGATCCCCTGAAACTGGAATTATGGGTTATGAGTTGCCATGTAGATGCTGATAATCAAACCCGGGTCCTCTGGAAGTGCAGCGATACTCTTTTCTCTAACCCACCATTGGTTTTCATAATGACAGCTGCCTTGTGTGCGTCTGCAGAGAGACAGTCACCACAGCTTGCCTCCTTGTGAGGGACACCACAGGAGAAAGTGAAATGAGATGCCACACTTAACCCAATTTCAGATTCTCTTGCAAATATGTTTTTGTATAACTTTTCATACATCTTACAAGTTGAAGAGAAGGCTTAGAGGTTAAGAGCATTGAGTGCTCTTCCAGAGGTCCTGAGTTCAATTCCCATCACTATCACCTGTAATAAGATCGGGTGCCCTCTTCTGGCCTGTAGGCATACACACAGGCAGGACACTGTGTGAATAATAAATAAGCTTTACAAAGATTTATAGAGTACACACTGAATAACATTTTGTAAGCCTTGTGTTTTTAGAAGAGATTTGCTAAGGTTTCTCCCACAAACAGTAATTCACTAGGCAGACAAATTATGCGAGTTGACTTGAGCAATATTATAGACTGTACAAATTATCTTTATTTTATTTTATTGAAAATAGACTTTTTCATACAATGTATTCTGGTTATCGTTTCCCTTCCCTCTACTCCTCCTATATCCTCCCTACCTCCCTTCCTCCCTACCTCCCTACCTACCCTCTCATCTGGATCCACCCCCTTTCTGCCTCTCCTTGGAAACAAACAGGTGTCTAATAAAGTAAAATAAATAAAAACAAACAAATTGTAATTAGACTAAACATCTAAACAAGAAAAAGCGACAAAGGAAAAGCACAATATGCATATAGACATGCATGTTCAGACACACATGTTCACGTACACAAGACATATAGACACACATGTTCACACACACAGGAATCACATTTTTAAAAAAAAACAAACCAGAAGCCATAATATATACACAAATGATCTATAGGTTAACAAAGCGGGGGGGGGGGGGGGCTGACAGTGTTATTTGACAAAGAACCGCCAAAGATGTCATGGAGTTTATTTTCTGTCAGTCAGGTTGAATAATTACTGTTTATAAGTTTACTAATTCACTATTTTTTTTAAAGATAGTGTCTCACTTTGTAGCCCAGGTTGTCCTTGAACTCATACAAGATCCAACTTCCTCAGCCTCCCAAGTCCTAGAGTTATGAGTGTGTGCCATCACACCCCATTGGTTAATTCAGTGTTCTTTCCTATGTCATCTCTCCATTTTGCTGTTAAATACATATGGCAGAAACTGTTTGGGATTTTGTGGGTTTCTTATAGTTTTAGAATTTTCATTTATTATAATAATTTTCTTTTATTTATTATTATTATTTGAGAAGGGAAAGGGGAGGGCGCATAACTCATCACACATGCAGAGGTCAAAGGACAACTTTCAGGAGTCTGTTCTCTCCTTCTACAGGGGCATTCAGGAATTGATCATCAGGCTATGTGGCAAATACTTTAACCCACTGAGCCACCCAGGTAGCCTTAGAACTTCCAATCATAAGAGTTTTCTGTTTCTTTGATGAAACTTTTTATTTTTTAATTGGTTACAAGCGTATTTTCCTTTGTGTCTTCGAGCCATGTATCTGACAGCTGGGAGTGGAGTCCCCGATGGTCTCTTCAGAGGGGGTCACATTTGTACAAGCATCTCCTAGCAGCCCTGTGCATCTCTGTGCTCTCTCAGAACTTAGACGCTCTCCTTGATTAGATGTACATTGGAAATGGGGGTGTGGTAGGTGGTAGCCCAGGACTCTCTCTATTCCTGTCTGTGGTCTTTCATTTATACACTAAAACTATATTGTTCTCCAGAGGCAATTAACCTACTTCATAGGACCCAGAGTGTTGGTTTCGTGTATTAGGTAGCAGATGCTGGTGTGTGGAAGATATGTGGTCATCTGATTTTAATATTTTTTCTTTTTAACCTCAGATTGTACCAAAAATACTCCATCTCTACTTTTCTCTGGGGTTTTTTGGACACATTATGTTATATAATATCAGTAACTATAAATAACCTTATTTTGAACCCAATATTACATCTAAGATGCTTTTTTGTTTGTCTCCTAGGAAAAAATGCTGCAAAGGATATAAATTTGTTCTTGGACAGTGTATTCCAGAAGGTACGTAATTTAATAGATGATTTTCATGACTAATGACTGTAGTAATATGAGCGGCGAGGCTGCGTCCCCAACACCCCAGCCGCCTGCTAGCTTATGCTCGAAATAACACACAAACTGTATTCATTTAAACACTGCTTGGCCCATTTCTATCTAGCCTCTTCTAAGATAACTCTCGCACCTGGACTAGCCCATTTCTAATATTCTATGTAGCACAGCTAGGTGTGCTTACCGGGAAGATTCTAGCCTACGTCCATCCTGGGTCGGAGCTTCATCACATGTGTCTGCCCAGGAGCCGGGAGCATGGCGTCTCTCTCTGAGGCGTCTGCTTCCGAGAGGAGAGCTGTGGAGTCTGAGCTCACTTCCTCTTCCTCCCAGCGTCCTGTTCTGTTTACTCCTCCCACCTATCTTCTAACCAATGAGGGCCAAGCAGTTTCTTTTTATTTAACCAATGGCCTTCCTCCATCAAATGACTAGTGGCTACAATGTTTGGGTACACATGGAATGTGTGTTAGCTATACATATATTATGTATGTCTAGTTATGGAAGTGATCATAATTTTTTTAATGATCGGATTCTAGGTGGTGTGCTCTGTGCGAATCACCAGTGTGCTCAGATTTTAAGTTCATGCTTAGCAAACTGGCATCACATGCACTAGTTGTAACATGATTCTCTTCATGAACTCTTTACCTGCTCTCCAGCATGAAACTTCAAGCTCCTTTAGAGGACTTTCAGCAATGCTAACCAAATACACAGTCCTTCCCTAAAATTAGAAAGGTTTCAGGCTTGGCCTGATCCTCTGGGCATATGATTCAGAGTAAAGAGACAGCAGGTAGATTACATTGGACAAGATGAACAGATTTTAATTATGTTTTAATGGGCTACTTAATAGGATCTTGGGCAAATCACATTTTAAGCCTTTCTTTTTTATAGGTAGGTTTTGGTACCAAGTTAAATGGGTTTAAAAAATTTTGCGTATATAGTTATATATGTGGCATTTAAGCTCACTATAAAAACACTGTGTTATGAGTGTGAGTATTTTTGTCACCAGTATTTTATAAGAGAGGAGACAGAAACGTAAAGACCCCGAGCTAAACCTGGGGATAGTGGCTTATGCCCAGATAGGCTGAGACAGAAATTCACCCCAAACTACAGCCAATCTGGGCTACATAACAAGACCCCATGTTAAAACAACAAAATCCCTCTACATTCATTAGTCCAATAAAAAAAATCTCTAAGATCTCACTGAGAATCAAGCTGAGAATCAAGCACCAAGCTGAGCAGGTGGGGAATATGGCTGCTCAATTAAAAAGGAAGAGCATGTGTGTGAAAGAGACAAGCCTTGTGGGCATTGATGAGACAAACTAGACCTTGTTGAGGGTCAAGAAGACTTGGCATTGACAACGTCACTTGAAAGCTATATAGAACAGTGGTTCTCAACCTTCCTAATGATATGACCCTTGAAGATGGCTCTTCATGTTGCAGAAACCCCCAGCCATAAAATCATTTTTTTTGCTACTTCATAACTGAAATTTTGCTACCGTTATGAGTCATAATGTAAATATCTCATATTTCTAAGGATCTTAGGCAATCCCCTGTGAAAGGGCTGTCCAACCTCCAAAGGTTGAGAACCACTGCTCTCGACTATCAATCCTACAACACTGAGGATAAATATGGAGTTTTTTATCCATATTTATTTCATTGGAGGTGTGGAGGTGAAAACTTGTGTGGAGATAAGAAGTGTACTATAACACAGAACAACAACAAAAAAAAAGAGTTTAGGCTTTCAAACTCTTCAAACTCATAAATGACTAAGTTTGGAAAAGTCTCAAGGGCTGTAATGTCAGATCTCAAACGCAAGACCAAGCCATGGTTTAAAGGTGACGAATGCAGGCTGAGCACTTCTCGTCTGAAATGCTTGGTGCCAGAAATACTTCATGTGTCAGAGTCTTTGGATAGGGAAATATTTACACAGACCTTACTGTTTGAACATCCCTAATCTGACATCTGAAAGGCTCCAAAATCCAAAAACATCGCAGAAATCAGAATGTTTGAAGTTTTAAGATTAGGGATTCTCTACATATGTAGAAAGCCTGGCTTAGCTGAGCAAGGACAGACCCACACAATGCTCACCTTTGCAAGGGTGGCCTGGCAGCATTATATACAGTGGATTTAAATGTGAAGACTCTTGGTGAAGATGCTGTTTACACAAGAGTGTCTGAGTCTGAATTAGAATCATGCCAAGAGAAACAGAACCGAGACGACAGAAAGTAGATACCATTTAAAGATAGGAGCTGCATGACCGAAAGTGGGTTGGCGCTAGAAAACAAGCATCAGAGAGAGAGAACTGAATAAATTTATTACCTTTGCTCCCTTCAGAAGCCCACAAAGTGGAAAAGACATAAATCCACAAGATCCAAAGGAAAGAAAGAACAGATATCATCAACAAAATGTTGGAAGCTAGAGATCAGCCCTGGGGGTGGGAAGACTCTTAGCAAAAAGAAGAGGATGAAGTCTGAGCCACTACCAGGAAAAGCCAGGGACAACTGACCTCACAGTAAATCAGACAGGCAAGAGCACTAGAAATAAAGGTGAAAGTGGTAGCAAAAGTAGAAGGGGCTGGGAAATGGCTCAGTAAAGTTTTTATGGTACAAGCATGGAACCTCGGTTCAGAATCTCAATGCTCACATTAAGATACCAGGTGGCATAATGTCTGTAACCCTAGTGTTCACAAGGACAGACGTAAGCGGGGTCCTGGGACTCACTGGTCAGCAAGCCTACCAGATTTGGGGAGCCTCCAAGTTCAGTGAGAGATCCTCTCTCAATAAAAAGGGTGGAGTGTGACCAAGAAAGACACCCACTAGTGACCACTGACCTCCGCACACATGTGCATGCAAACCAACAAAAGCAAAAACAGAAAGAAAAGGATTAGCTAAAAGTCAGAGAGATTGCCCTCCTAGATCTTGTTCTGTCTCAGACAGAACACCGACCCTTGCTTGACCAGACAAGGGGAGTCAAGACAGTTCTTCTGGGAGGTGAAACACAGGCTTCGGAGAAGACAGCCAGACAACAGAGGCATTCAGCTCAGGCTCACACATTACCTCTTCAAACACCCAGCCTTCACTCTTTCAGTTGCAGTGACTTATACTCAAAGACTTAGAAATGTTATCCCTGGGTATACCAGATGGCTCATGCAAAAGACCTGACACTATCATTCTAGTATATATAATAAATGCAGTATGAAATTTCAGCACAATAGAATTAAAAAAGAACCCTAAAATTTTTCAAAGAGGAATAAAAATTCCTGTGAAATAGAAAGACTAGAATTTAGCTGTGGTAGGACCATAGGAGACAACAGAGCAAACAGGGACGTAAAGTTGTCCAACCTAGTTACATATTTCAAGTTTCAGCACTCCTATGTGTTGGCAGTCATTTTTACATGTGTGAGCTCAACTTCTTTTGTGGCCTTTTTTGGGATATACTGGACAGCAGGCTCTACTGAATTAGGATAGTAAATCAGGAAAGAGAGGATATGAATGGCAGAAGGCAGGGGTGCCCCTCAAAAGATAATCACATAAAGTCTTAATAGGAAGAAATCAGAATGTTCCATTGGGGTGCCCACCCTTTTGACAGTGTGACTTGATGTCATCTATAAATGCATTAGGTTATATTCACAGTTACCCAGGGACACATGTGACTGTGTGGGTTAGACATGCCTGTTTTGGGGAACCTCCAATATATCCAAATACTTTAGACATTTTACGAGAGTTCCAAACTTATCTCTGGGGATAAATTAGTAACAAAATTTAAGAAACTGAGTTGTGTGGATCAAAAGTTAAGTCCAGAAAGAAAACTATAACTGATGAACAGAGAGTATTTGATAGGAAGAATTTCTGGCTGGACACTGAAAGTTCAAAAAGAAAAAGGAAAACTTTAAGTACAACAGAGATAAAAGGTGCAGTTCTGCATAGGGAGCAAATAGAGACAGTGGACCAATTCAGACTGGTGAGCTCAGAGAGAGAGTATCTATCTGTGCTGGCTAGTTTTATGTCAACTTGGCATAGCTTGAGTCATCAAAGAGAAGGAGCCTTAGTTGAGAAAATCTCCATAGATTGCATTGTGAGCAAACCTGTAGGGCATTTTCTTTTCTTTTCTATTTTATTTTTGATTTTTTTGAGACAGGATTTCTCTGTGTAGCTTTGGAACCTGTCCTGGCACTCTGTAGACCAGGCTGGCCTCGAACTCACAGAGATCTGCCTGCCTCTGCCTCCTGAGTTCTGGGATTAAAGGTGTGCACCACCACAGCCTGGCAGGCATTTTCTTAATTAGCAACTGATGTGTCTCTCAGGGATGCTTACCACCCTGGGCTGCTAACCACCCTGGGCTGGTGGTCCTGGTTTCTGTAAAAGGCAGGCTGAGTCAGCCATAAGGAACAAGCCAGTAAGTAACACTCCTTCATGGCTTCTGCATCAGTTCCTGCCTCCAGATTCCTGCCCTGTTTGAGTTCTGGTCTTGACATCCTCTGATGATGAACTGTGATGTGGAAGGATAAGCCAAGCAAACCCTTCCCTCCCCAAGTTGCTTTTGGTCATGGTGTTTCATCACAGCAATAGAAACCATGACTAAGACAGTATCTCTGGATGGAGCCTAGACCTCTGAGGCACTAGACAGTCAGGATTGTTGTTCTGAACTCGGAGAGCATAACCCATAGATCTTGAACCCAAACTTTGGGTGTGTCTGGTGCTGGCATATCTCAAATAGGATATAATGAGGTTGATTCTGCAAGTGGCAGGAAAACGATACAGCAGCATTTCTTACTGCTGTTGAGACACTATGCTAGTGTGCGGAAGGAAGGAAACACAGATGAGTCTCCCAGGAAAAGAAGTCCAGACAACAAGCAGACATGCATAGCCCTCCTTCCTCTTGCAGCCTCCCTGTCTTTGTGTTTCTATGTTCATCTTCATCATGTTCCTCCCCCTTCCCCAGTGCCCCTTACTGACGGTACCTAGTAGGCCAGTGACTACCAAAATAAAAATGGCCAAAGACCCAAGTCGTAAAGCAGCCCATGGAAAAGGAGGTGACACAGATTTGAACTCATTAGCAACCACCAAACATACACCAGGGTTATCTTCATTCTGGGGAAGCAAAAAAGTGGGGGTCCCCGAAAAGATAAATGGTCAGAGATCATGTCTAAGCTCAGTAGAGGACAGCTTTCATATTGTCAATTTGTTGTCAACACCGAAGTCCTATTCAACTAAAATTCCAAAGAAATCACTGACTCAATGGAAAAATTTAGAAGGGTGTTGTTCAAGGTGTGCGAGGAGGCGATGAAGACTCTTGCAAGACTGGAAATGAACAGGGAGTACTGAAAATGAAGCCGTGAGGTGAGCTGGCCATTGTGAGATGCAGGGGTGAATAATATGAGAAACACAGCTCACCAAATGTGCTGGAAGTGACACCCCAGGGAAGCAGGGAGAGAAGGGGACGCTGGGACAATGGCTTCTCAAAGCACCCTTGCCACAGTTGATGTAAGTTCTTTAGGCAGGCACTCTGTTTTCCTCTTCTCTCTGGCTTCTGCCCAGTTATGGTGACCACTGGTAGGAAAAGGTTGTTCACCAGCCATACTGGGATCCTGCTCTCTCCAGCCAAAAGAATCTAGAACTTCATTCAGAAAAAAAAAAAATCCTATATAACCAGAAACAGTTTGCAAGGCTGGTCAGAATCCGTGCAAGCAGAACAGACCTGGACTCACACTTGTAGGAAAAAGGGCTTAGTAAGGGCAGTTTTAGGTCATCCTGAGACTGCCATGACCCTTGTCATGCTAACCCAGGCTGCATCAGGAGCTGACAGCCCACCTGTTTGACTTCATATCTACCAGAGCAGAGCCAGGAGCTCTCTGTATCCAAGGAGACTGCATCTGTCGGCACCCGAGGAGAGCGGCCATGATTAATGAGATGTTGAGTCTGGTCTGGGAGCAAATGCTGAGCCAGAGCTTCAGACTTAGAGCCAAAGGCCCTTCAAGAGGTGCATTAAACACCAGTTCATCAGAGCCCAGGGGAGCCTATGCCCTAATTCTTTGGGTAATAACAACTCTACTCTAGTTTACACAAGCTTCAAGCTGATAAGACATTGGTAGCCATTCAAATGTGTATTAGTCTTCTCCGAGGGCAGGGTCGACCTTCCTGTTAGTGCACCTGTGACTCTTGCTCATGCAAGCACTGAGTCTGAGAAGTCCCCACAACCCCAAAGTATCCCCGCTCCTTCTCAGAGCCTGCCTGACCCCAAGGTCTTCCTCTCATAGTGTGACATTCAACTCTCACCAGCTCTGGCCTGTCCTCACATTCTGCTGGAAGGAATACACTCTCTGTGTCATTTGGAGGGAAAGACAACACAGGTCCCAGGGATGCCGTGCAGCCTGGCTGCCTAAACATCTTTGTGTTCCGGATAACAATGGAAATGGAAGGAGAAAATCCAAGTGACATTCCTTTAAATCACAGAGATCCTTGTATTAAGTCATCCGCTGTGGTACTCTTGGAAACTTTGAAAGAGTTGACAGCTCTCGAAAGGTGGCCAGCCACACTTCACATTTAACTCCTAGCAAAGAGCAGCCTTCCAAGTCTGTTCCAGGCTAGGGCTGGCTCGCCCAGCTCCTGCTGAGGTTGATGTAAACACACTCTTTCTTTCAGACTATGACATCTGTGCCCAGGCTCCCTGTGAACAGCAGTGCACGGATAACTTCGGCCGAGTGCTCTGCACGTGTTACCCGGGATACCGATACGACCGCGAGAGACACCAAAAGCGGGAGAAGCCGTACTGCCTGGGTGCGTAGGAAATGCATTTCTAGCTCCTGGGGATGTGCTGTGTTCAGATACCTCTGCCCTTTGGTGGATTTGCTGCTGCAGCAGGACCAGGTCAGAGGAGCTGCTGCGAACTCTGAGTCCTCCCCCTTAAGTCTTTGGACTCATGGGATGGAGTGGTGTTTGGTTTTTGCCTGGGGACCCTAGCTTTCATCATGTTCATCAAAACAAATAAGGTACAAAGATGGCTTCAGGAGCTGGAATTAGTCAGAGCCTAACTGAGAGGAGAGCTAGGGAAAAGGGAGGGTGTCCTATACAAACTAGAATCATGTAAGACAGAACACAGAGGGGCAGGAGCCAGGTGTGGTGACACACACCTTTAATTCTAACACTCAGGAGACAGAGGCAAGGAGATCTTTCTGAGTTCAAGACCAGCCTGGTCTACATATTGAGTTCTAGGACAGGTTTACATAGAGAGCCCCTGTCTCAAGAAAAAACAAAATCAGAAATGCAAAAACATAGAACAAAATGAGGCTTGGCAGCCCGGGAGTACAAGCAAGAGAATAGAAGTATTGTTGCCCAGCAGGGGGAGAAACAGTTTAAAGAAAGCTGAGACCAACTGCCTGGACTACAATTAAGCAAACAGCCTACGCACCCTCAGTGGCTACCAGCCTGTTTCTTTGTTTCTTTTGGCCATGGGTTTCCTACCATGCCATCCAAAGAAGATGCATTGTCTCAAGAGATTGTCTATTTCAAAGTGTGATCATTCTGTGACTAACCTGGGGTCCTGGCCTCATCTCCAGGGCAAATAAGACACAGCTCTGAGTGGTAGACCCAGGAAAGTAACTTTTCACAAACATCACTAAGTGATTGACAGGTTTAGCGAAGTTCAAGAATCGGAAGATGAACTGAGATGGTCATAGACTCAAGTGGGAATTATTTAGCTGCCTTGATAAACAGTCATTCCCCTCTGCCCACCAGGGCTCTGGGGAGAAACTTTGGGGCAAAGGTCTAGCCATAGGCCTTCTACAGCCTCCCAACAGTATCTGGAAACAGTACCGCACACTAGCAAAGGATGGGGCCAGCACAATTAAGTAAATAGAGCAGGAGCCCATGACATCACCTACAAAGCAGGGATGTTACAAACGGCTCAGTGCTACACATGGAGGCTAATATTTCAGTGTCCCATAGCCACTTCAGCCTTCTGTTTTCTTTTGGTGACCAGAGGAGGCTGGGTGCAACAAAAGGCGCCCCTAAAATACAACAGCTTCGTACTTAGCATTAGGACAGGGACACCTCTAAGTAGGCTTCAATTGGGACCCTCAGCCTCTAGACACCAGTGTGCTGCCAGGGAAACACCCGCATCGCCATCCTCTCCCTGGCACCCTCGGCTCCTGTCAGAGATAGACCTTTGGCAGCTTGCCCAGGGAGTAGTTGGAAAGCTGTCGATCTCCTGGATTCCAGGGCTGGGCTCTGCCTGCCACATGTGTTGAGTCTGAGGTGGTGTCCTTTTTCCTACCCGCTACTCCAGATGTCTTCATTCCGTGAACAGGAAATGGAATATATAGCCTTCCCCTTTTTCCCCGTGGTGAGAGACAGTTCTGTTTCCACTCCATGCCATAGGAAACTGAATCAGCGCTGTCCACAGTCCATGCTGACTCGCTTGTGGTCCCGTGTTTGATAATCTCATGGCTCATTTCCACAGCTCACCCGGGGGTCAGCGTGGGTCTGTATGGAACAGGGACTGCCTGGAGAAACCTATCTCCATGAGGCCCATCCTACTATTTACTTTTGTTAGAAGTAGTGTTTTCCAGTTACTGCCATGTCTCTTAACTGGGAAGAGACCTTTCCGAAGTGACCTTTGGGTCACCATCATGCTGTTTGAAACCTCCCATTAGAAAGGGGGATGAAACTTCAGAACACCAAGCTACCTGCAGAAGTCAGCTGTGTTGCTGGTCATCCTGTTTTCTCTTCTATGAAGCCCTGGTGATAGAGGAGGGAAATGATATAAAAATTAGCCAATAAGAGGCTAGAACTAATGGGCCAAGCAGTGTTTAAAAAAATACAGTTTCCGTGTAATTATTTCGGATAAAGCTAGCTGTGCGGAGCTGGGTGGGAACGCAGCCCACTGCAGCTCCATCAACACCCTGGGGAGTGCTTAGGACTGGCCTCATTGTCATGCCCTACCACCCGTGAGTGAGCCTCTGTGGCACCCATCCGCATGACAGACACCACCTCTCTAGGTCTCTAATGGCAGATACATGGCCCAAAGTTATGGTTTCGTGTACGACCTGTGTTCCTGGCACTTCACTTTATTCCACACTTCTCTGGTTCAGGTCTAGAAGTTTCTCTCACTCAGGTCAACAGAGGGGGCAGCTGTGTTGCTGTGTTGACATTGTTCTATGTATTTGATTCAAACCAGATATTGACGAATGTGCCAGCAGCAACACCACTCTGTGTGCGCACATCTGTATCAACACCATGGGCAGCTACCACTGTGAGTGCCGGGAGGGCTACGTCCTTGAGGACGATGGGAAGACCTGCACCAGGGGAGACAAATACCCCAACGACACTGGTGAGCAAGAGAAGCATGGTACCCTTGATTGTGTGCGCGTTTCTATTAGATCTTATTTAGAGTGTCAGTTTAAGAATTACATAGACACAGCAATGAAATTGTCTCTTATGTTTATGATTTTATATTCTATAGATGTAGCTTATACGTATAATGCATATTGCATATTTATATGTAAAATGGTATCCCATGCTATATCTTATGGTATGTATGCATGATATATAATAATACACACATAATATATAAAACATGATTAGGTATAATCTACAGTCTATATTATGTAATTATACTATATATAGTTCGTGTTAAGTATATATGTTATTTATCCCATTTTATATATTTAGATGTAGTATGGATTATACATACATAACGTGGAAATTATAGGTACCTGGGAGCCCAGCCACTCCTCTGGTGACTCTGTGCAGGATGGGACACTTACAAGTGGCACCTAGGTGAGAACCAAAGATGAAAGTCATCTGAAGGCGAGCTGTCAGGAGCAGGGTCTGTCGTGTGGCATCCTGACTGATACTGGAGGAAGGGGGTATGTCTGTGGGGAAATCAGTACCACTTGGCTGTGTGTTTCCAGGATCCTAGGATGAACAGGGAAGAGGCCAGACATGGGAAATGTGTGTTTGAATAATTACCACTTACGGTCACAGTCTATTTCAACACAACCCAAAATGCAGTCCGTGTCGTGTGCCCATCTGTGAACTCACTGCTTGGTTCAGGATCAGATAAAGACAGAAATTGGAGTGCGAGCGAATTTTTACACCCGTTTTGACAGAGGACATTTATTTAAATTCCAAATTTCGTGCTTGCATTTCACATATAATCTTTTAAGCAACTCATTTTGTATGAGCCCACAGTCAGTTTCCCAATTCCTACCATCTGGAGCTTCAGCATGGAGCTGGGAAGCTGCCGGACATGAACACGGTAGCCAGATTCAGCCAAGATGAGACTGGTCACCAGAGCGTGGGATCAGCCTGCATGCTGGGGTAGTTCCTCTGAAGGAAAAAAGAAAGAATAAAGTAAAAAAGAGGAAGAAGGGGAAAGAGAAGAAAGAAAAGAGCTCCCAGATTGGTGGGCAAATGCTTATAACATTCACTTGCAAAGGGCCTCTGATCTCTCTGCCAAGTGCCAAGCTAGTCAATAAAATCTAGAATTTTAGCTTGTGGGGACCAATGTCCGGCTGGAATGAACTTTGAGGCAAAATAGTCTTCCCTACCAGTGTTGGCCAAATAAGTTCCCTAGAGAGAAAATCCTTAGCCATTTAGAGGCCCAGAGGCCGAGTTTGTACCATCAGGAGCATGCACACTGTGTGTGCTGGAGTACGCACGTGAACTCACGGTTAAGAGAGGTTAGGGGGCCTGAGCCATGCCCGGGAAGGGAAGAGACTCCTAGAGCAAATCACGAGATGAGCCGGGAGTCGAGAAAACCAGAAACATCTGGGCACTCACGTGATGAAGCCTAAGCTTCAAAAGGGGCTGAGAGGCAGCAGACAGCTGGCCACCAGCTGCCTCGTGAGAAACAACTACAAAGGCAGATTCTGAAGAGCCCCTAGGTTGAGTCATGGAGAAACCTCTGTGTACAAAAAGTCAATGCAAAATAGCGACTTGGAGCCAGCTCAGGGCAGGGCATTTACAGACCCTGTGTATGTAGAAGGGGCTGAGCATAGGGCACCTCTGAGACTCTGAAGCATACGGAGCCTACCCATCCAGAGGGTGCTACAGATCAAAGGGCGGCAATCTTTGGGGTACAAAGGAAAATAATTTACAGACAATTTTTTAATTCAAAATTAAAATCACTGCTGTCTGCCCCATGGGCAGGGAGATATGGCATATCTCCGTATTGAAATGAAGGCACTCATTGACAGCGGGTACCACCTTTTAGCCATCAATCCATTCACATATGGAACTGTGGAGGAATGTCGCAAGGACGCTGCTTTCTAAGTTGTCATTGTAGACTGGATTCCCAGCTGCCTGTACACAGTTGGCTGTGGGTTGCCTGAATTGATATAGAGACAAATATTTTTTTATGTGGACAGGAGGGAGCCTGGAGAAGCCCTAAATAGAGCAAATCCATAGAAAAGCAAATGTGTTGCTGTGTTTTAGGGTAGAAATTCATGCCTTGAGGGGAGAGTATTCAGATACCCATAACACCGAGCTGACCACTCCCACAAGAAGTCTCTGCCTGTCAGGGCAGAATGATCTTCAGGAGAGATGGCTCAGTGGGTAAAGAGTGTGTTATACAAGCACGAGGATCCACATTCAGTTACTCGGCACCACATAAAAGCAAGATGCAGCAGCCCACGTCTCTAACCTCAGAGCTAGGGGGCTTGGAGACAAGCAGATCCTGGGGGCACATCAACCAAGCAGTCTAAGCAAAATAACAAGATCAAACTTGAAGTTCATGAGAGACTTTGTCTCAAAAAATAAGGTTGAAGGCCTGGAGAGGTAACTCAGCAAATACGGGCTGGTTTTAGGGCCCAGCATCCACATCAGGCCTCTTAGAACGATGTGTAACTCCAGTTCTAGGTGATCTAGTACCCTCTTCTGCTCCTCCGGCACCTGCATGCCTGGTGCACACACATATACACCATCACACACATAAATGTCTGGATTTTTAAGTAATAATAAGTTGGAGAATACTAGAGGAAGACACCAAATGCACATTCACACCACATAAACACACACGTGCAATATACCAATTCGTAAAAGAGGTATTACTATTTTAGTTTCTGTTTATCGTATGTGTATGTGTGTTTTGCCTGCATGTATGTCTGTAGGAGGCCAGGACAGGGTATTGGATACCCTGGGACTGGAGTTAGATATGGTTATGAGCTGCCATCTAGGTGCTGGGAATTGAACACCATTCCTCTGAATAGTGAGTGGCCAGGGTCCTTAACAAATGAGCCATCTTTCTAGCCCCCAAATAACTATTTTAAGATCTCGTAGGTGATGATGTCCTAAAAATCACAGATTGGAAACTACCTTATGTCACAAATCTGAGTTCTAGAGCTAAACTTGGTGGGACATCGGTCAATTCTCAGACAAAGGTGTTACTAACCAACAGAGGCTGAAGTGCAGAGGGTGGAGACGGAGATTCACTGTGCAGAGCCTGGCATAGCACAGGTGGAAACAGGGCAGGCCTCTTTCAATGTGCCATATTCAGGAATTCCTGGTTCCTCTAACAGTGGCCAAATGGGAAATGCCCTTGTTTTTTGCTGGAAAAAAACATCTGCTGATTTTACCATTAAGTCTTACTGAGACACAAAGCGTAGAACAGTTGAATCGCGTTGTAGGTTTTCTCCCATTTCCTCCTGCCTCCTCTTCCACCACCTTCCGCACACGGCAATTCCACCTGTTTTGGAAGAAATAAGACACGTTAATAAAACGCCACCATCAGCTCTTTCACACCCCCCAGAGTGTGATCCTTACAATATCATTTCCAAATACTCCTAATTGTCAATTTACAGTCTCCACTGCACTAAGCACCATAGAAGGATTTGGTCTGGTTTTATATTTAACAAAGGAGCATGCTTATACTGGTGGTCAGGGAGACGGGTAGAAATTGAGAGGAATCATTCATACAGATTTGAGAGAGGACAAGGTCTTTGTGCACCCAGAAGTTCCCTGTTCTAATTCAATTGCTTGACCCCTGAGCCACCACTGCCTCAGGTACTTTTGTCTCTCATGACCCTGGGGACAGAGAGAAGAAAAGGGGAAGGAAAGGGCCCATGAAGACAACCATGATGCCACAGGAAGTTCGTCACCTAGGACGTCAGAGCAGGTGACCCAAGTTAGGTTAGTGCTCACTGACAGTGTGCTTTGAGACTGGTCTCTGGGGGCACTGCTGATCTCCAGCTCCGGGGTCCATTTGCTCTTGGAAAACGTTTCAAAATATGCTGGGACACGTACTGGCTTTGTGGGAGCCTAGGCAGTTTGGATGCTCACCTTATGAGACCTGGATAGAGGTGGGCGGTCCTTGGGCTTCCCACAGGTCAGGGAACCCTGATTGCTCTTCGAGCAGATGAGGGAGGGGGACTTGATCGGGGGAGGGGGAGGGAAATGGGAAGCGGTTGCGGGGAGGAGGCAGAAATCCTTAATAAATAAATAAATTAAAAAAAAAAACAATGCAAGTGTTCCCTGCATTTTTATCTCCTTGTCCTCTATCCGTGCAAGAACTCGGACTTGAAAACATGCCCAGCTTTAACACCTTCCATGTAGGGGAGGTTCTTTTCAGTATCTCAAGGTTGAGGGTTTCACATCTGAACAAGCAGCTCAGTTGTAAGCCATGCTCATGGCAAAACGAGCCTTCTGGATATTAGGCAGCTAAGCATTTCCAGCTGCTTTGGACAAATTGGGCAGCCCAGTATTTCACCGTCTTATTTTGTTTTATAGTGAAGATAATGATTATTGAGTATAAACACGTGATCTAAAAAGCACCTCTCCCTGTCTGGTATGTTCTGAGTTTGGGGGGAATTTTTTAGGGTAATATATTTCTTAGGCTTTTCATTCTCCAACAGCTACAATGTTAGAGTCAGACAAACTTAAAATAGAAGTCCAGGGTCGGTGAGCTGCTTGTCATACAAACCTGATGGCCTGAGTTTGATCCCAGAACCTGTTTAAAGGTAAAAGGAGAGAACCAACTCCACAAAGCTTTCTGAAAGTCTCCATGAAGTCAAATGTATTCTCCACATGCATGCATGCCTTGACACATACACGTAACATAGTATAATAAACTTTAAAACTAAAATGATGATGATGATGATGATGATGATGATGGAAATTCTAGCAGATGTGTCCCCAGGACAGCCTCTGACAATTTGAAAGAATGTCCCCTGGCTGAGTGATACAAGCCATCTGACAAATTAATGTTCAGTCATTTTGATTTTTATCTTTGAAAGCCCAGAGCCGGAGCCAGCAGAGACACAAGGGAGTCTGCGCACCGCAAGGGGCAGACAACGAAGGAAATGTTGGCTCCATCGTGATTAGCTTAACTGGCCTTTATTTTTCAACTTGTGTTTATTTTCTGATAAAGTTACCATGACCCCAAGTGTCACTCAATACAGTTCAAAGACTCAGAAACGGCCAGGTGTTTCAAATAACTTTCAAACTCTGATAATAATAGATTAGGCATTTCTTAACGTGGGTAATGTTAACACATACTGACACTGCCCCTTACTGCCACCCCCAGGTGGGCGGGCAGAGTTTTCAAAGTCCTGCTCCCCGCCCCCCGGGTGGGGGGGGGGTGTGATGTGCTGGGACTGGATTTACCATACAGCATAGTCAAGTTTTTAAACCAAAATCCTTTATTCACTTGGGGCACTTCCCACGTGAAGCCCATTCTTGGGTTCTTCTAAGTTTATGTGATATCTGTTACCCTAATTTCTTTTTTTTTTCTTTTTTTTTTTATTGAGAAAAGGAGAAAAAGAAAAAAAAAGTTTCCACCTCCTCCCAGCCTCCCATTTCCCTCCCCCTCCTCCCACCCTTCTCCCCCTCCCCCCACTCCTTTCCCCCTCCCTCTCCAGTCCAAAGAGCAGTCAGGGTTTTCTGCCCTGTGGTAAGTCCTAGGTCCTCCCCCCTCTGTCCATATCTAGGAAGGTGAACATCCAAACTGGCTAGGCTCCCACCGAGCCAGCACATTAAGTAGGATCATAACCCCGTGCCATTGTCCTTTGCGTCTCATCAGCCCTCATTGTTCACCATGTTCAGAGAGTCCAGTTTTATCCCATGCTTTTTCAGTCACAGTCCAGCTGGCCTTGGTGAGCTCCCAATAGATCAGCTCCACTGTCTCAGTGGGTGGGTGCACCCCTCGTGGTCCCGACTTCTTTGCTCATGTTCTCCCTCCTTCTGCTCCTCATTGGGACCTTGGGAGCTCAGTCCAGTGCTCCAGTGTGGGTCTCTGTCTCTATCTCCATCCATCCCCAGATGAAGGTTCTATGATGATATGCAAGATATTCGTCATTATTGCTCTAGGATAGGGTCATTTCAGGTTCCCTATCCTCAGCTGCCCCAGGAACTAACTGGGAACCTCGGCTTGGGCACCTAGGAGCCCCTCTAGGGTCAGGTCTAATTTCTAAGCCGTTACATTTCTAGCGTTCAACATGTTTAACCGGACTCTCATAAAAATTAGAGCTCCATGCCCCCGTGTGGCTTCTTTGTAGTACTGCAGCCTGAAAATCTGGAAAGCCAGCAACATGGAGCTAGAAGCCAGTTTAGGTAGACATTAAGTTTAGTGGAGTGTCTTCCCTGGACCTGCCAGACCACATCTGGGTATTCTCAGCAGAGACTCTAATAACAGCCTCCCTTTGTGCCTGCCCCATACCCCAAATGGCCAATTGGGTCCTACAATTGTGTGACGTGCACGCAGTATTCTGCGTAATCAAAGTAAGCCCTAGAAGGGGGTGGTAACTTATCTGTAAGAGGGCACTAAAGATGCGTCAGCTCTAACATTCCGTGATCCATATAACATGAGTCGAGAACCGAGTGACGAGGTAAGATCACCCTGTCATGCAGACATGCATTTGCACCAACACTTGGAAAATCCAACTGGGGATGTGCAAATGGGAGTACAGAGATCCGCTTTTCACTCCTACGTGTGTCCCCTCAGCAGAGGGGCTTGGTCTTACACCAAGGTCAGATTGTCAATGGTGAAGCAGAAGTGTTGTTTTGATCCCCCATTCATAAAACCTTCCCACACCGAGCAGCTCCCTAGGAGAAGAGGGGTGGGTGGAATGGAGTAACAATGAATGTGAATTATCAACGTGACACCCTGTGAGTCATCTGAGTGGACTCTCAGTGAGCAATTATCTGAATTAAATCTATGGGCACATGGGGTGGGCATGCTTTGGTTATGGTGATCGTTAGTTGAAGACCCCACCTAAAAGTGCGGAGCATCATTCTGGGCTGTATAGAAGGGAACTGGGTGTAAAATCATGTGCTCGTGTCCCTCTGCTCTTGATTGGCCTGGACTAGTTGCTTCCGTTTCCTGCCACCGTGATTACCCCAAAGGCTATGACCAGGAATTGGAAGCTAAATAAGTCCCTTCCCCTTTCCCTTGACCCTGGGTCATTCTGGATAATCCAGAGAACACCTACCCCTTATACAATTTCCATGGTCAGCCTCTCTGTACCCCATGCCTAGGGATGGCCCTTCTGGTGCCATCGCTCCAGGAATGTGCGCTGCTAGTCTCCCAGCTGGAGCTGAGCCGATGTCTCTCCCCAGGGCACGAGGAGAAGGCCGAGAATGAGGTAAAAGCTGGGACGTGCTGTGCCACGTGCAAGGAGTTCTCCCAGATGAAGCAGACGGTGCTGCAGCTCAAACAGAAGGTACTGGAAGCACAGTGGGCGGGGTGTGTATGTGTGTGTGTGTGTGTGTGAATGGAGGGTGAAGGACCTATAGGGGATTGGCAGATGGTGGGTGAGTGAGAATAGATCTTTCTGGTTGACCACTCATTGCAGTTGGTGTAAACCGGATGTGAATTCCGGATGTTTTCCCCACTCCAGAGCTGACCACCTAAACAGCAATGGAACCCAAGGCAAAGACCTGAGAAAGGAGGTTACTATAGCAGGCCTGGCGATAGGTACACACAAGGTTGTTGTAAGAGTCATACAAATACTGCCGTGACTTCAAAGACTCATGGCCCTGGGCAGACCTAGACAACAGTATTTTATCCGTGTTATTCATTGAAAACATTCTCTTAAATGTCCTCTCTTCTGTAAACCGATGTCTTCCTGTGGCACCTTCATTTTATCATGTAAACATTAGGGTCCAGGGAAAGATGTGCATCTGGGAAAGCAGTCCTCTGAGTGCCTCATGTCACCAGGCATGAGGACCAATTCCCTTCCTGCAAAAATCTGCCCAATGAGACGGATCGCAGGGCGCAGTCCTCTGTTGGTGTTTATTACACCTGAGGTCAGCGCACTCTGAAACAGTTCTTCAGCTTCCCAAACATAAACTTGCTGCTTTGTTTTTGTTTAATCACTTCCACTCAAGGCCCTCGGGAGATCAAAGTGCTGTGTATAATCTGTTTAGCTCTGGCAGTCAGTTATTCTAAAGGGTAAAAGGGTAACATAAGACACTATCTCTTCCATGGCCAGGAAAGTGGCAGCCGCCCTAATGAGAAGCCCAGCTACCAGCTAAACCAATTGAAACAACAGGCCCAGACGGGGAGCAGTGTTTCCGACCTCTGAAGCATGGGCTGGTGAGGTCATGATCGACTTTAGCAGAGGCTCATACGTACTTACATAATCAAGAGTAAATCACGGACCTAATCATAAATAGCTTGTGCTATCATAGACAGGCAGAAAACCTTGTCTGGGAGCCAGGATAAACAAAGAGAAAGGAGGAAATAGTTCCCATACAGCTATCCCCAGGTGACACTTGAATTGATGTTCGCATCTTTAGAGGAAACCCAGGTTTGTAGAAGCATTAAGCCTGCTTTTCATAAGCTAGGAGCATTGGGCTTTGGAGAGGTAGTTAATTATGGTCTCAAAGCACAAAGCTGCCCTCACTTGCCTTCCCTGGAAATAACCTATGACCTTACATAAATTCTCTCCAGCTGGACTGCTTTGAAGGCACTCAATATTGTGAGTCGTTAGCAAACTAGTTGCTGTGTTTGGCCTCTTTCTTTCTCTGTCTCTCTCTCCCTCTCTCTTTGTGGTTTTTCAAGTCAGGGTTTCTCTGTAGCCTTAGAGCTTGTCCTGGAGCTCGCTCTGTAGACCAGGCTAGCCTCAAACTCACAGAGATCCGTCTGCCTCTGTCTCCTGAGTGCTGGGGTCACAGGCATGTGTCCCCATACCCAGCTGAAGGAACAGTTTTATATACAAAAATCTCACTTAACTGTCACCATAGCCTTGCAAGAAACATGCTAACATTCCCAGAGATGCATGCATGCTCAAAAGGTCAGGCCTGAAATCCAGGCCTTCCCCCAAAGCCTGGTGTAGATAGATAATTTACTTTTAACATCCGCTTGCCATTGCTGATGCCTTCTGTTCTATTCATAGAACACAAGGCATTTATTTGCCTGGATAAACATTGTCTAAGAAGTAGAAACATGGAAGGGGGGCTGGAGAGCAGCCAGCCCCGTAGGATGAGGTAGAGCACACACATGTTCAACTACACTATGACTATACAGTAGCCAGAATTCTAGCCACAAAAAAATGCCCCAGGTCAAATCCCTTGGCTCTTCAGGAATCAATTGGAAAAGAAAGCCACATAAAACGGCAGCATGCAGAATACAAGGAGCCTACAAGACCTGCCACTTTTTAACTAGCAAGGTTAACCACAGTGTTCAGGGAAGGACTGCTGGGCGGTGAATTGTTGGTTTAATGCAGCACATAATGTACAAGTCAGGAGAGTGGCTACTTTTGAAGGAAGGAAGGAGAGTGGTGAGGGGCACTTAGGGAGAACTGGGGTGATCGGAAGGTCTACATGTTGGCTCGAGTGTCCACTGAGTGTGTGTGGTTCAGTCATTTTCTAAACTGCATCTGTTAGTTCTACGAAACTTCCTGTTTGGGGCTTGTACTGTCCATTCAGCCCTCAGTGCCTCTTCCCCTTCATTCCCCTTCATTTTTTTTAAGTTAAAAAAGAAATAAGATCTGGTGAGAAGGGAGCCTGAGGACCACAAAGTACCTGTCATTCAGGTTTTGGTTGAGTACTGAGGAAAAGCAGCCAGCTTCTTCTGAAATTCACTCGTACGGCTAAATGGACGGCTGGGAGTGAGATAGCCAAAGAGGACCAGGGGAAAAGACCCCAGAGAGAGAGGCATAGCTCGTCAGTGAGCCTGCACAGCAGCTCGGGACCCACAAGTGTGCTCAGCCTCTGAAAGTCACTGTATAGGGAGCAGCAGGGGATCATGGCCCTCTTATGCCAGAGATGCTTAGTTAACCGACAGTGAGCAATCAAGATAATGTTACAGGTATTTGCTGAGCACCCACTGTGCCATACAGTGGCCTGAGCAACAAGGAAGAACAGTGTGGAGTAAAGTCCTGCCTCAAGCAAATTGACAGTTTACAAAGAAACCAAGCCAACAGTGTGACTTAACGATGATCGAATGGAGTGAGGCAGTAGCCAAGCTTGAGAACTTGGAGGTCAGTGAGCAGGCTTTCCTACCAAGTACATATGCAGGTTCTGAACTGACTTCACCAGCTAAATCGCATGCACACACGCATGCAGGTGCGCGCACTCACACACACACGTTATAATTTTTTTTAAATGTACGTATGTACCACAGAATTTTATTGACCCACAAATAATCATGTCCTTTCCAGAAAGATAGATACACTGGAGATCAATATGTTTAATGAAATTAGCTAGATTCAGACAAAAAAAATGCACATTATCTTAGGTAAGTTTCTATTGCTGTGATAAAGACCATGACTAAAAGCAGCTTGGTGTGAAAGGGATTTATTTGATTATGTGTATAACTCAATCAAAGTCCATCATCAAGGGAAGTCAGGGCAGGAACTGGAATGAGCCAAGGAGGGACACTGCTTACCAGCTTGCTTGTTCACAATGGCTTAATCAAACTGCTTTCTTATGCAACCCAAGACCACCTGCCCAGTGGGCTGGGCCCTCCTACATCAATCATTAATGAAGAAAATGCCCTCAGGCTTGTCTACAGGACACTCTTCTGGGGGCATTTTCTTAGCTGATCCTCCTTTCAAGATGACCAGAGTTGCTCAAGTTGTCAAAAAAACTAACCAAAACAAATGTTTTCTTACATTTGCAATTTAGATTGTGCATATATATGTATATAAATATATGTCTTTATATATAGATATTTATAGATAGATATTCATGCATGCATGCATGCGTGTGTGTGCCAGCATATGTGACATGAAAGCAGAAGGCAGACTTAAAGAAAGAGATGGGGCTGGAGAGATGGCTCAGTGGTTAAGAGCATTGCCTGCTATTCCAAAGGTTCTGAGTTCAATTCCCAGCAACCACATGGTGGCTCACAACCATCTGTAATGAGGTCTGGTGCCCTCTTCTGGCCTGCAGACATACACATTTATATGTATTGTATACATATAAATATTTTTTTTAAAAAAAAAGATGAGAAGGGAGAAATAAGAGGCATATTGGGGTGAATTTAGTCTCAACTACATGATGGACTTGGAAGAAATGGCTTTTATGAAAGGAGATAATACCTGCTAAATTTGATGTCAAATTAATTACTGCCCATAAGAGATTGACAGCAGCGCCTGCTGCCTGGGACAGGCTCTGTACCTGCCAAACACGCGCTGAACATTAGCAGCGAGCATGCCATCTTCAGTGTCCTACCTGCTCATGCCAACAGCCCTCTCAGGTAGATGGTCTAACACCAAGTAACTCGATCTGAGAGAACCCCTCCCCAAGCCAAGTTGCTGGATTTTGAACATGAAGATGCGATCGTCTAGAGACACACTCCTCATTTTGTCGGTGTGGAGATGAAAACTTGGGCCCAGAGGCAGGAGCAAGGGCAGGCACAGCCTTCCCACTGGACAGTGACAGTGGCTGGACACTGGGCCCATGCACCATTTTCCTGGGCAGCAGCCCCCATAGGCAAATGCTACCATCTTGTTTAGAGATGATATGCAGGCCCTAGAGAATTCAGTGTTCTTTCCAAAGCCAGAGTCCCATGCCAGGATTCACACCTCAGTGTCTCAACTGGTGCCTGATGGTAAAACCGAACGAGGCTTCGGGGCCAGAGCTGACCCATGGACCCAGAAAGTGTATTGACTTTTCTTATTCCCTCATTATTCCCTATTCCACATGCTCATCTCTCAGTTGTAGCTGTCTACGAGACATTGGGAGCATTTTATTGAACTCCAGAACACGGCAATATCCTCTTATAACCTGAGCCTCATGGCTGATCCTCAGTTCGCACAAGGCTGTCTCCACCTTCTTCTCTGTCCCTGAGGAAATTACCTTTGCAGCTGTTCAGTTCCCACCAAAGCTCTCACAGAGTCCCGGGTTACCTGACTTCAAGGACTGCCAATGCCGCTTGTCCATGTGGTTCTCTGGCTTCCTCTAGAACGAAAAATTCCAGGCAGGAAGCAGGGCAGTAGCCTCCGCTCCCACAGTATCAGAAGCTACACACTGCCACCACGGCCACACTCGTTATTAGAAACCAATAACCAATCCAACAATGAGAACAAGCCCCGCCTTTGGAAGGAGGAGTGTTGAAGAACTTGTGGTCAGGTTTTAAGTTAACCACCAAGGTTTCTGCTGTCCATCTGTTCTGAAGGTTGGCCCTGAATGTATGTATGAACAGTCACCCACAGTCCTGTTCCTGGTTCCCAGGACTGGACATTCTCTAAGGAAAGGGGCCATGGCTTGGTCACCACTGGGTCCATAAAACAAAGCACAGATCCTGGCATATAATATATAATGAATATATGTTTGAGTTATAAAGCAGTTACTTGAGTGGACAGGAAGCACAATGCCAGTATGTTTTATTAGCTGTGGTAACTGTTCTATGGATCTCAGCAACCTGAATGTCCCTGGCTTCAACCACTGACTCACTGAGGAAAATACTTGCCAGGAGTTTGCCCTGGACAACTCCTCGGCTGGAAAGGATCTCTCTGGCCCATCTACACTCTATCTAGCTACAGTGGAGAGCAATAGTGAGCCGGCTTTGTGGGCTCTTCGGACGACTCTAACACAGACTTCCTCGCAGAGCAATGCCGGCGTTCTTACGCAGGTCTACCTTGTCTTTATAGATTGCTCTGCTTCCCAACAACGCTGCGGAACTGGGCAAGTATGCCAATGGTGATAAGGTGCTGGCCTCAAACGCCTACCTTCCAGGACCTCCCGGCCTGCCTGGGGGGCAGGGCCCACCGGGTGAGTATGCACTAGAACATAGGCTGGTAGCTCACACTCAGTGAAGCTGCACAGTGCTCTCCAGCTTCCTCCCGTTCACACAGGTGAAAGGTGACTTGCAGGGCAACATGCTGGTGTGATGAGAGGTCAGGAGGAAGTTGGGTTCTGTAGCTTGAAAAGGAAGGTTTAATTTTCTGAGATCAGATAGGAGGACTTCTAAAGGTCATTTTAAGAGGTGATCATGGTACCACACCTGGAATCCTAGTACTCAGGAGTCAGTGGAAGGAGGATCCTGAGCTTGAGTCTAGCCTGGCCTACATGGTGAGATCCTATGTCAAAACAAGTTATTTTAAATTAATGAGAAGCACCATGAAGACTATTATTTAAGTTCTCCCTAGGAAAACCTTAACATATAGAGTAATAGACTTATAAAATCATACAGTTCTACTGAATCACAGCCAGAGGTTCACAATATGGCCCCATCGCCACTCTCCTTGGGTCTTTGGCTACCTCCTTTTCTTGCTTAAAGAAACTATATTCTTACTCCTATTATATTGTAAGTGGGATTTGTTGAGGCATGTATCATATAATGAGGTAGGTTGAGTTTAGCTTTGCCAAGTGTAGACTCCCCTGTAACTTATACTCCATACCAACCTTACAATACAGGAAGTTTCCCCCATCCACAAAGTTCCCTGGAGCCATGGACCACCAATGTTCCCCCTGTACCAGCTCTAGGTATCCACCAACTGCCTTCCTTCCCCCAAGACTTCCCATTCAAGGGCTGCATCTCAGACATCTCTCATAGCTTCTGTTCTGCATGGCCATCTTCTTTCTATCAACATATGGTCTCAGAGATTCAGCCTTGCTTAATCAGAAGATTTATAGTGACAATTTATTTCTTAAAGTTCTGAGGCATTTTACACTTTATCATGAATCTCTCTGTACATAGATCAGTAGAGTCTTTAACACCAATAAAAGTGATATCAGTGTTAATAGGTGACTAAACCATGGCTGTCTTATCCCTCGTTATCAACCCAGCAGTGTGCTGGTTCTGGCCTCTGATGTTCTAGCTGGGAAGATGTAACACATACAATGACTGTAGAGGAAAGTGAGCCAGACTTGCATCTATAATCTTAGCAGATTATAGAGGAGGCTGAGGCAAGAGAGTGCTGTGGTCAGTATGGCCTGAAGAATGATATCCTGTCTCAAAGAAACAAACAAAATAAAGAAAGGTATACACCTCCCTCCAAGTCAGGCCGCAGAAGCTTTTTATTGTCAAGGCTGCAGGGAAATAATGTGTAGTTTGAAGTCAGAGGTTGGCATCAGGGAATTGAACTGGTGAAGGAAGATTGGTAAACTATCAGGAAGGGAAGGAGCTGGCCAAGCTTTAGATCCAAAGATCAGTAGGAAGGCTCAGATTTCTTTCCAAATGATTCTGTGCTTTCTGTCTGCTTGTGGCTTAACCCCCAGTTCCCCTTACTGACCTGAGGCTCAGTTCACACAGAAGAGCTGACCCAGGACTTTGGTTTATCCTGATGTTCACCTCATGACCTGAGTATCCTCCATGGCAGTTTTCTCACACCGGCATCCTCTTCTTCTAAGTAGGCAGTGGCTACCTCCTATCACTGTGATTCCTGTCACAGCGGCCCCAGCCCCTCTGTAAGCGGGTGCTCTTGCTTTGCATCTCTGGGCTAGTCTATACATCACTAGAACAAGGACATGTTCAGGAAGAGGGGAGCCATTAGTTGTTGGTTTTGTTAATAAAAGGCTGACAAGTTTGCCTTCTGGTTCTCCCATCTGGTTTCAAACACGGTGTGAGCTGTCCAAGGTCCTTCAGGGAACCGCAGCATTGAAGATGAATGGGCTTTTGCAATACATGAAGAAAATCTCAGATTTTTTCTAGTCGGATTGCTTTCCACTGAGATGTATCAGGGTGTTTAGAGAGCTCATGAGATTTTCTCACCTTTAAACAGAATTTCCACCCAGAGCCCTTCATACACTGCATACTGAAGCCACAGCACAGGAGACTGAACTTTGGCTTTGGAGATAAGAGGTGATTCCAGCTCTCTGGTCTCCACTGTTATGACAAGGGCTTTCCATCCGCATACCAAGGTCCTACACTTTAAAGGCACTTAGCATACACTGACTGCTAACATTTACTGATTAGGTAACTGCAGGTGACATCTCACCCCTAGCTTGTCTTTCTGCTCTTGGAATAGAATAATTATAGGAGCAATCTGACCCCCCCCTTCCTAAATAAACCATTGCAATACATAACCAGGAATGGGTATTGAGAGTTGGAACATGAGACATGTTTGAATGGAGCATTCAAATTTGCCTTAATTATTCTGTGAACTAGAAATGACTTCTCCACATATGAAAAGCTTAACATCATTGGTTCCAGAACCTGGAATTTTTCTGTGCATTTACTGTGTCCTGTTAGGAGGGGCTAGTGATGAGTACAAGGATAACTCAAAGGAGAAAGTATAGCAAAGCAATCAACCAGTCTCCCCATTTAACAGGAAATCTTTCTAAGCCATCTACTGACATGCACCTCTCTGGGAGAGGGGGGATGATGAAGACACAGCCTGTGCTCTCATGGGGCCAATTATCTAAAGTGCAGTCAAGTCTGGTGTTCCCCCATATGCAGGATAACGACCCTGGCCTCCACCAAACAGAAAAAGTTAGTTCAGAATGGATTGAAGACCTAAATGTAGAACACTGAAGTCATAAAAAGAGTGACATACTATGGATTCAGCAGTGATTTCATAGACACATTCCCCAAAGTAGAAACAGACAGAAGTGAGATTATCCCAAACTTAAAAACTTACGCGTGTGTATGAAACACTGGAAGAAGCCAAAGGGCTGGCTATGGAAAGGGAGAAAATGTCCACAAGCCATTTACGTTAGTGAAGGATTAGCATTTAGAATATGTTTTAAACATAATAATTTAGTAGCAATAAAAGTCAAATTGATTCAAACACGGACAAGGAAGTTGAATAGTCACCTCATATATATATATATATATATATATATATATATATATATATATATATACAAACATCCAACAAAGCCTCGAGAATCGCTCAGTATTATGAATCATTGGAAGAATACAAACCCAAACCACAGTAAGATAGCCACTGCTATCAGAAGAAAAGGGCAAGGGAAAGTTAAGCATTGGTCTGAGGTTTGGTGATAAAGTTTATCTCCCTGCCAGGTAGTGGTGGCGCACGCCTTTAATCCCAGCACTCGAGAGGCAGAGGCAGGCGGATCTCTCTGAGTTCAAGACCAGCCTGGTCTACAAGAGCTAGTTCCAGGACAGGCTCCAAAACCACAGAGAAACCCTGTCTCAAAAAACCAAAAAAAAAAAAAAGTGTATCTCCCCAAAGTCCTCGTGTGCTGGGGTTGGTGCCCTGCTGGTGCCATAGTGTGGGGAGATGAGATCTGAGCAAGTCTCTGGGGCCATTTCCTAGGATGTGTCTTGTCCCTGGCACTCCTCTGCCTGCTTCTCTGCTTCCTATGTTGTGAGTTCCACCATGTCATCTTCACAATGGTGGACTGATAACTCTGAAACCATGAGCCAAATTAAATCTGCTTCCTGGGCTTTTCAGTTGGCATTTGGTCACAGCAACAATAAAGCTAACTAATCTAGAAAAAATATAGGAAAATTGCAAAATGTAAAATAATGTAGTCACTGTGGAAAAGTAGTGAGATCACTTTAAAATGTTTAAACTAGAACCTTCATATGATCAGTGATCCCATGTCATGTATTTATTCATGTACACACCCCCCTAAGAGAATGGAAAGCAGGGTCTTGAAGAAGCTTCCAAGTAGCCATGTCCATGACACCGCTCTTCAGTGGCCAATAGAGGCTATCCATTTGCTCTTTGGTGGGTGGCTAAAGTCATGAAATTGGTATATATATATATATAAAACATACAAATGAACTTATATTCTACCTTTTAACATGATACATGGACTAGTCTTGGAGACATTAGGCTAAGTAAATTAACCAAATTTCTAGAATAGACAGACATAGCCAGGCATGCTAGAGGACACCTGAAATGCCAGCACTCGAGAATAGCTCTGTGTACACAGAGATGCATCCTTACATGACAAAAGCATTCTGCAGATCTGCGACACAGCCTTATGAGGGCGCCCAACACCTGTGAGTCACACACACATTTTTAAGATAAAAACCTTTGTAGTAAGCATTTTATACACTCTAATTGCCTGCACCCTTTCCCCATATCGTCCCTGGACAATGTTCAGAGTCACAAGTGAGCATGCTCTAGTCCGCATGAAGGTTCAGCCCCTCCAGTTGAACATTTGTGTCCCTCATGTAGAAAGGCATTTCCTGGTGACCTTGTCATGTGACAGTCTATAACCTGCATGAATGTCTCAAATGGCAGTGCCAGGGTACCCCTTCCTTTATTGCAAGCTCAACCCAATCCAATGTGGCTGTTTCTGACTCTGTCTAGAAAGGTAAGGAAACATCACAGATTTCCACATCAACCTCCATGGTAAAATGACTTGAAAAAGGTTGGGTAGCAACTATCTTCAACCAGGTACAAAAAAATGGTCATATGGCTAGCTCTTAAGTATGCCCAATGCTCTCTCTGTTGGCACAAGGCTCCAAAGAGAACCTTAGACAGCAAACTTACTGTCCACAGAGATCCAACAGGCAGTCTTGGTGAGAGTATGACTGTGTGAGGAGCCCAACTGGCACAGAGCACAGGCTTCATCTAAAAGGACACTGCTGGTGCTCCAGATCACTGTGCCAGCAGCAGAACTCAGGTCTAATTTTAGTTCTCTTTTCAAACCACAGTCAGAGACCCAGATTTTTTGCAGAAAGTCTCCAAATTTTTAAATAGTAGGAATATTCAGAGGCATCAGTTGCTTCGGAAGACACGCCCATGGGCATAGTGATCCATGATGTTTTCACAGGGAAGGGAATTGAGATGACTTGGGGTACTGGTCTGCTGTGTTTCAGTGGGGTACACACAAAGCAGAAGAACAGGAGGCTGGGCAACACACCGTCTCAGGATCTGTTGGGAAAGGACAGGGGTCACCAGGTGAAGAGAGCCTTGGAGAAAGATGAGAACGAGCGAGTATGAGATTGAACTTTGAGCAAAGGAGGCCATGGTGCTGTTTTGTCTTTTCAAAGTCAGCTCCTTGCAGAGCCCTGGGAGAGTTTAAGAGCTAGCCATATGATATAACCTGGTGTCTGGCTTCCATGCGAGTCACCGCAGAGTCTGATTCTGCGTACTGTTGTATCACTTGGTGGCTGCTTGTTTGTTTGCTCTTGCTTATTTATGCGTGTCCGTTCTCTTTATTGAACGCTGCACATTTGTAGATAAACACCAGACCCTGAGGAACTTGGCAATCACTCTCTGAAGCAGGCCTCCTCTTCACTTGTCAGATCTGTAACAGGAAGTCAAGCCATCCTAGAGTAGTTGAGTCAGGTTGGGGTTTTATTGTCACGATCTTTACCTTCAGTGCTCTGTGGTCTTCAAATGTTCAAATCCACCCAATGGTAGGATGTTGTTCCTCTGTGCTGAGCGTCAGTGGGTTTCCTCTGTATGCTTGGTTCTCTGTGGTTCCTACACAATTCTCTATGCTCTTGTCTGTTCTTCACTAATAGGTTCCTTTTAGACAATTATTGTGGAAGTCAATGTCACTTTGTCTTCTGCTTCTGGGCCTTGAATAAGTAAGACCTCTTCTTTACACTCATCTTTAGAAAACCATGGGCAAGACAGGATCTTCTATCATTTCCTCACAAGCAGCAAGTATAAATAATGTCTACAGGAGAGAGCTTATGCTCCCCATCGTACGGGGGTTGAGGCTTCTCTGGTAATGATTAAAGGTAGGAGATTTCTATAGGTAAGAAACACTCCACTGACCTTCAAAGGATGAGTGGGTGAGGAGTGAACAATACAGGTAGGAGGCAGGGGCACCAGCTGTGAGGCAAGAGTTGAGACGAACATAAGAAAGGTAGAGGCCTGGCAGACTTTTAGCACTTACTGTGGGTGAGGTGCTATGCCATAGTATATATGTGTGTATATGTGTGTGTGTGTGTGTGTGTGTGTGTGTGTGTGTGTCTAAGATTTTTATCTAATGCAGCCATTGTATATTGGAGACTTTTATTCCAATTTGGAGATAAGAGACTAAGGCTCAAAGATCTCAAGCAAATTGTCAAGGATTCAAATGTAGGTCTCTTTGATGGTTAAAAAAAAATTCTGCTAGTGTGTAGGTGTGTGTGAGTGCACACACATGGAGGCTAGAGGCAACCTTTTGGTGTCTTTTTATATCACTGTCTTCATCTTACATTCCAGAGAGATTGCTGACCACCACACCACACTTTTACATGGGTACCATAGATCTGAACTTGGGTCTTCATTCTTATGCAGAAAGCACTTTATCCCCTGAGCCATCTCCCCAAACCCAAAACCTTGTACTCTTAAGCACGCTGCAGATAATATCACATACTGTGATCCAGGGATAGAGAGACATGGAGCAGGCCAGGCTTAAAGAGGTAAAGCAAGCAGATCCCTGGATGATTACAGAGGCTGTGCAACCAGAAAGATTCTCAAGTGTCTGACTTGAACAAATAGGTCTAAGAAAAGACAGAAAGGTGGAGTCACTTTAAATTGTGTCGAGTTTAAATTTCCATGAATACCTTAGTATAAATGCCACAAGGCAAAGAGCAGAGTTACAAGACAAATGTCTCCAGTGACGCCTAGACTCTGTATTTGTCTTTATTAAGGGGCAAGCACTAATAAGATGTTCTTGATTACAGGCTCACCAGGACCCAAGGGGAGCCCTGGATTCCCTGGTATGCCAGGCCCTCCTGGACAGCCTGGCCCACGGGGCTCAATGGGACCTATGGGACCATCCCCCGACCTGTCTCACATTAAGCAAGGCCGGAGGGGCCCTGTGGTCAGTATCCTCTGTGATCCATGTAATACTGGGGGGAAACACGTTTTTGTCCTGTAATTTCCTTTTTAGTTAAATCAGATGCTGTGTCTTCTAGGGCCCACCGGGAGCACCAGGAAAACATGGCTCCAAGGTAGGTCTTAATAGCTACAGGTGTTTCTACCCCCTTGGGCATCTAATGAAGCTCGGCAAACCCCATTTATCTTTTCCAGTTGAAACACAGATATACAAGTTGAGAATGGCAAGCCCCACAGTCTCTAATGCTAGAAAATCCTAAACTGTCAGAGCACGTGCAACACTGGGGGGAAATGAATTCCAGGCTGGGTGTGGTGACGTAAGCCTCTCTGTGTAGTTACAACCACACTCGTGTGTCTTGGTAATCTGTGTATTATAGAATGGCCTCCCTCGTTCAAGTGGCGAACCACACACAGCTCCATTCTACACAAGTGCTGGCTTCCCTCTTGAGAGCCAACAACAGCGTGTGTGTCTTACTTCAGAAAGACTGGTGTTTCACACACTGCCTAGAGAGGCAGGATTCCTTATCAGAGCTGCTTGGGAAATACACAGCCTTGTGAGAACGCAGGAGTTGAGCTACTCGGCCTAAGCTTGCCAGTTCTAATAAGAGGTCCCCTGGGCCCAGCTTCGACTCGAAATTTATGTCCTGCAGGAGGATAGTTGTGGGTGGAGGGTGTCTAGCCAGAGACAGCAGTGCTCAAGAATGCTAACCCTTACCTTTCGGTTCTAGGGGGAGAGAGGAGCACCTGGGCCTCCAGGGTCTCCGGTAAGTTGCCCTGTCTGTCCTTCTTACCCAGTGAGGATGCTCTCGTGAGTGTGGCACTCATAGAATGGTGGAGCTGGGGCTGGCAAGATAGCCCAGTGGGTAAAGGCAGTGGTCATCAAGAATGATGATCTGAGTTCAGTTTCCAGGACCCAAATGTTGGAAGAAGAGAACTGACTGCCACAAATGTCCTCTGACCTCCATAGGCCTAATATACATCTCCCCACACAAATAATGTGTAAACACCTTTTTAAAATGTATGTGTAGGCCAAAGTTTCTGTCCCACCAGCTAGTTCCCAACTAACCACACAAAGACTCATTATTATTTGTAAATACTCTTCGTTAGCTTAGGCTTATTACTAAATAGCTCTTACACCTTGGATTAACCTATTTCTATTAATGTATGTGCTGTCACGTGCCTCATGGCTTGTTACTTCACTCTCTACATGTCCTGTTCACTCTGTGTCTGGCTGGCGATAGCATCCTTCTTCTTCCCAGTATTTGCCCAGTCTCAGTCTCCTGCTTCACCTCTTTCTGCCTAGCTATTGGCCAGTTGGCTCTTTGTTGAACCAATGAGAGCAGCACATCTTCAGAGTGTACAAAAGGATTATTTCACAGCATATGAGAGCGGCTCTTAATAGCAGAAGCTCACCCTCCTTGGCTGTCACTCAGGCAATCTGGTCTGTAGTCAGGAGGAAAGTTGTAGATACTTTAAGCAGCTGGTTTGGATTTTTAAAATTTGTTTTCTGAAGTTACTTTTTCTTTGATCTTGATAATCTGTATGTGAAATATCACTTCTGAAGGTCACCATGCCAGGAACCCATTTCCAAGTGCCATCAGAAGACTTTTGAAAGGAGGGCTGAGGAGACAGCTTAGTCTGCATAGGACATGACATGCAGGCAAGGAAGCCTGGGTTCAGTCCCTTGAGTACATGTGAGAAAGCCAATGTTAGTAGAGTGCACTTGTAATCTGGCTCTGAGGTGGCAGAGATGGAGGCATCCCTGGGACTTGCTGGCCAGCCAGCCTAACAGAATCAGCATTTCCAGGCTAGTAATACATCCTGTTTCAAAAAAAATCAAAAAACAAAAACCCAAAGTGAACAATGTCTGAGGAATGTCAACCAAGTTGACTTCTGGGCTCATACACACCTGCACGCATGCACCTATACATACAGTAATTTACTTACTTTTTCATTGCTATACTAAAACACTATGATCAAGGCAACTTATAAAAGAAAACATTGACTTAAGATTTCACAGGGTTAGAGTCCCTGTGCATCATGGCGGGGAGCACGGCGGCAGGCAGGCATGGCACAGAAGGAGTGGCTGAGGACTTACATCTTGATTCAGAAGCGTGAGGCAGAGAACTGATTGGGAACAATATGTGCCTTTGAAACCTCAAAGCCTGCCCCCAGAGATACACCTCCCCCAGCAAAGCCACACTTAATCCTTCCCAAATAGTTCTACCAGTTGGGAACCAAGGTTCAAATGTATGACTCTACGGGAGGGGTCCTTCTCATTTAAACCGCCACATTCCACTCCCTAACACCAGTAGGCTTGTGGCCACTGTATAGTAATGCAGAATGTAGTTAGTGCAACTTCAGTTTTGTTGACTACTCTCAGGCTGGTTCCTCTCCCTGTATGTAGCTCTCCCTGGTAGGCACCCCACAGCTTTGGTACCTCCAACATCCTGTGGTTTCCAGCAAAATCCAGGCTTCATTTTCATAGCTTTAGACAATGGCCTCTCAGGATCTCCATGCAGGGACTCCCCAGCCACACATTTGGCCTGAGCAACTCCGCTTAACTGTGGAGGAAGACTCCACAATCCCTTTACTCCTATGTCCTTCCCAACTCTAAAACCAAAACCACATGGCGGATGCTGCCAAGTTCAGCTGACTGCTTGGGATGGAGCCGGCTCCCTCAGTGAATTACATTCGCATAAACTCTCTTTCCTGTCTCTCTTTAGGGACAACCAATTCTTTAGGCCTTTTCTTTCACAAATGAAAGGATTACCTGGTTGAGGTCTTGCCCCAAGAACCTTACTCCCTTTATCCATTTTGTTCCAGGTCTTTTCTATCTGTTTTCATCTAAAGCCTTGGTTCCAATGTTAAATTTCCTGATGTTCTTTTTCTTTTCTAAGTGTACACTTTGCATTTCTTTTTTGCTCTGCTTGCTCATTTTCACTATAGAAACTCCCACAAAAATGATTACTAATAACCTTGCAACAGAGTCAATAGCAGGCTGCCTTGAAATCTCCTTTGACAAAGAAATTAATCCATTATTTTTCAGGTTTTGCCTCAAGCAAGTTTTTAGAACAAAGGCAGAAAGCAGCCACATTCTTTGCTGAAATACCAAAATAATAGTCTCTATCCCAGCTAACACTGTTCCTCTCTGACCACTTGGGCACTGCCTTCCAGGCTCCTACTAGAACGGTCCTTTAAACTCTCCACTTATGTTGTTCAACTACTTTCCTAATCCAATGTCCCAAAATCTTCTCACATTTCTCAAAAGAAAAAAAAAGCTTACAAAAGAAAGTATTTAATTGGCTTACAATTTCAGAGGATTCAAGTCCATGACCACCATGGTGGGGAGCGTGGCAGGCAGGTGCTGGGAAAGTAGCTGAGAGCTTACATAACACAAGGCAGAGGGATAACCCGTGTGGGCTTTTCAAGCCTCCAAGCTTGCCCCTACTAACTCATGCCCTCTAATAATACCAACACCCCTAACCCTCCTCAAGCAGTTCCACCAACTGAGAACCAAGTATTCAAACATGAGTCTACGAGTGCCATTCTCATTCAAACACACACATACACATACACACACACACACACGGACCAGAACAGAAATGCATGTGTTGTCATAACCCAGAACACTTGCGCTATGCCCACTCTTTCCAATAAAAAAGCAAAAGGGCTCCCTGGGCTTAAAAAGAAATTTGCCATGTGTATGTACAATATCCAGGAGATTAATAAATGAGCAGAAATATATGAAAACGCAAGCAAGTCTGTTCCTTCTGGAGGAGAGGGTGTGTGCTCTGAAGAAGGACCAAGAGGCCTTAGTTGCCACCTCAGCTCTTGCTCCTATTAGCTTTGTGAACTCGGGCTTTACCTGACATCTCTGAACATTCGTTCCTCATCTACAAAAAGAGATCCAATTTGTCACACCTCCTGTAGGTATGTGGTGAGGGTCAGAGAACAGCAGAATGTTACATCTAAATGTGTCAAGTTGTCTCTTGCAGCTTCTAAGGTAGAAGTTGCTGAGTGGCATCCATTTTAAATGTGGATAATGATTTTACCTTTCAACTTCTAATGTACTCAGAGCAGGCATGCTTAAATGCTTTTGGTTTTTCTTAGCACCATGTTCTACTATGGCACTGCATACAAATTAAAGCTTACCAGATATTATACATGATGAAGAATATCTAATAATAGAATAAGGAAGGTTTGAGTTGGGTCTTTCTAGACAAATAAGGAACAACATACTCTCAGCTTCATTATCCCCTCCTCTTATAAATATTAACTTGATTTTTTTTTTTTTTTTTTGGTTTTTCGAGACAGGGTTTCTCTGGTTTTGGAGCCTGTCCTGGAACTAGCTCTTGTAGACCAGGCTGGTGTCGAACTCACAGAGATCCGCCTGCCTCTGCCTCCCTAGTGCTGGGATTAAAGGCGTGCGCCACCACCGTCCGGCTCTTAACTTGATTTTTTAAAGAAGAGCAGAAAACATTTTGAACTCTTCCTTCTGTCTCAGCCCTCTGCATTCTTCCCATGTCCACCTCTGAGTCTGCATTTTACGGGAGGGACAAGCTTAAAGAAATCAGGTCATTTGCCACGGCCACATAGCTTGGAAGAGGTTGGTTCAAATCCAGCAGAATCTTAACCTCTTGAGCACCACTCTGACTTTCCGATTTCTTTGGAAACTCTCCTGAGAAAGGAGAGGTGACTGTGTGCGTCACCAGGGCTCGTGTGTGAGAAGAGGGACTGGAAGACAATCCTGAGGCCCCCAGGCTACTCATGTAGTCCTTAGGTCTACCCTATGTAGGCTACAGAGATGGTTAGCAGGCAGTCATCCATCCACAGGCCACAGACTTACAGGCAGCAAACTCGGCAGGGTGCTGCTTTGACAAGTAGCTATAACTTCACAGCTTTGATTCCTCCCGTGTGCACAGGGACCCCCGGGTTCTTTCGACTTCCTGCTGCTTGTGCTGGCTGACATCCGAAACGACATCACCGAGCTGCAGGAGAAGGTGTTCGGACACCGGACTCACTCTTCAGCAGAGGACGCCCCCCTACCTCAGGAATTTTCCAGCTACCCGGAGACCCTGGACTTTGGCTCTGGGGATGATTACCCCAGAAGAACTGAAGCAAGAGACTCAGAGGCCCCCAGAAACTTTTATCCATAGCACATCCCTGTCTTCATGTCACCAGGAGAAAAGTATGGCTTTGTCCAGTCATAGCATCTGAGGAAAGTTACCACTGGAGGCCTAAAGCCCTTGGGCTGTCTTCCTGCCCTCTCTCTTTAGTCTGCTTCCCAAGTGTCCTGCACATCCCACCGGCAACAGGACACGTTGAAGAGCTGCTGGGTGGCTTTCCTTAACAGCCTAGTTTTTCTGGAGCTTCTGAATTTCTAAATTCATTGTTCCCACAGAAACTTAAATTTGGACAAAGTTCCAAAAGGGAGAAAATGGCAAAGTGGGCTCTTAGAGGTGTAATAAGGTCCATTCTAAAAAGCAAGTTATGTTCAAAATACTTGACTATTCCCCCTCTGCTGTCGGGTGTATGGCTCTTCAGTTGAGGGGAGGATGAAGAAGGAGCACAAAGTAGATTGATGTTGGTTAAAAAAAAAATGACTTTTCCTTAGCAACATCACAGATTTCAAATTCTGAATCCTATATTTTGGTCTTGTTTTTTTAAAATATATGTATATTTCTGTAACCAAATATATTGGTTACAGAAACAAAAGGATAGAAAAGAAGTACAAAATGTACTGGTGGCCAGAGGTGCCATCAGGTCCTGATTCTGGCTAAATCAAGGCTGGAGGGAAGTTGCTGGCCTGGAATCTTGGCAAAGGGTGACGGGGAGGCATGGAGAAGGGTTTCACTAAAGCTAGATCACCAGAGGCAGGTTAATCTGCTCTTAAGATATTTGGAGTCCTCATCCAGAGTCGGCTAAGTGATGCCCTGGGAATAACACGCAGCTGAGAGGTCTCAGATAGAGGAGGGTAAGGAATTCTATCTAATCTGGCATAATTTCCCACCATTTTCTCCCGATTTAGTTAATATTCCCGATCTAGATCTCCTTGACTCTCTCCTGGACCAGGTGGAGATGGCTCGGGGAGAAGCACATTCCCCGTGCCTCCCTGAGTCCTTTCTAGAGCACTTCTAGATCCCCAGGGAAACGTGTTCCCAGAAAGGAACAAGAGGCCAGCTTCCTTCATGTCGTTGGGGTCTCTTGAGCTTCCCAAGGGATCTTGTTCACATGGTCACTTCTGTTTGCTATCCTTCAGTGCCCCCTTTATTTCTAAGAAGTTTCCCTTTAGCTTTTCCCCATAGCCTTTGAGCCCCATTTTCTCCCAACCCCTATGTGACAATTGGTCAGGAGAAAACTGCTATTGGGATTTGCATGACCCTGCACTATCCGTTCTTCCTGAGCAATGAGAAGGGGATCTGTCTACAGAGCCCAGGTGGCCCAATGGGCTTTCGCTTCCCCTCCCATCCCTCTCATGACTCTCTTCTTTCCCTCTCTTCTCTCTCTTCCTCTCCCTTTCCTCCTTCCTTCAGTCCCTTTACTTCTCTTGCTTTCTTCCCTCCCTCCATCCCTGCTTGCCTGCTGACCCCCTTCTATCAGAAAGGCAGGGTTCCCACCCACTCATGCCAAATCCCCAGTGGCTGTCCACCATCAGGTCATGATTAAGGCAAACACACACTTGCATGGCTTGCTTGCTGTCTCTTCCTCCTCTCCCCCCTCGGTCTCTCCAGAACCTGAGCCCCACCCCAGATGGCCTTGTCAACCTTGGGTTCCTGGGGAGATAGACGCAACCACAGCCCAGTCCCAGCTGGACTCTCTTTAATGCTTGCCTGCTTACAGAACCCAGAGTTTAAAGGGCGTAGATGGATGGAGTCTCAAAACTATGCAAGGCTCTATGAGCAATGATTATGTCCATCCTTTTTATGAGGAATTTTATAACCTCTGTTTTTTCTAGACAGTGAGATGTGTGTAGAAACATAATCTTTATTGCTGAATGCTGGTAAAATACAAGCACACTCCACGCTGGGCCAGAGGCCAGGATAATGTACTAAAAGAATGAAGTGCAAGCATAATAGCTGGGATTCATGAGTCTCTCCCTAGATAATTCTCTCCAGTAAAACATACAAGAGCCTGTATTTGGTAACCTCAATCTGCTGGACCATGTCAGTTTAGGTAATCATTATACCTCGGATTTTCAAAACTTGGACTACTAACTATGAGACCAAAGTATGTCCTCTACTTGTCAAGATCATTGGGGTATTTTAGTGAAAAAAAAAAAGCATTATTGCTTATGTAGCTCTTGGATAGAAAAAAAATCAAAGCTTTACTATCTAAGCAAACTTTTGCTCAAAATCCCATGGGAAGGCCTTTGGGAGGAAGGACAGTACAAAACAGATTTACTGAATCACTCCATATCTCATGACAAAAAAAAAATGTTTTGTTTTTTAATACCTCCATCAACCTTTGGTAGAATTGTTCAATTTTTCTAATATCCCCACACGTAAGACTTAGCAATAAATTGCCTCTGTATTATAAATAAAAACTCACTGAAAAAATATAAGGAAGACATGCATTTTAGTTCAGAAAAACTATTCTCCCTTCCCAGTTCCCAAGGGAAAACTAGCTTTCCTGTGCCAAAAAAAAAGTTATTAGGAGCCAGATGCTGTGGTATACACCTATAACCCTGGCACCTGAGAAGCAGTAATGGGCAGGTCAGGAGTTCAAAATCAGCCTCAGCTACATAACAAGTTTGAGGTCAGTCTGGGCTATACAAGAGCCTATCTCAAAATAATAATAATGATAATATAATAATGAGTAGGGTACTGGAGAAATGACTTAGCAGTTAACGATGCTTGCTGCTCTTCCAGAGGGCCAGAGGTCAATTTCCAGCTCCTGCATCAGGTAGCTCACAAACTCCTATAACCCCAGTTCCAGGTGACCTACTACTGCCCTCTCCTGGCCTCTGTGGCATCTGCACTCACATGCACATATATACACATAGATACACACAGAGATAATGTAAAAGTCTTTTTTTAAAGGAGTGGGTAACAAAGGGGATATTGGCTCTTCTTGTTTTCTATGTTACTCTCCAATACTTGCTACAGAATTAACTAAAGTCATATTTCTGTGTAGAATCCATCATCTAAGAGGTAAATAATAAGTGTTTATTGACCTTCGAGGGAAAGGAGTATAACCTCACCCAAAGACCAGGTGTAGAGCACCCAGCTAGGTCCAGATAGGTAATGTCCTCTTTCCAAGGTCCTGAACAGCCTTGGCCTAGGGACAGATCTTCTTCAAGACCAGCCATCATATTTTATCTTGGGGGTCTCAGGAAGCAACTCCCTATCTTATTTTGAGCATCATTTCCCTCCTTTTCCCTTATTCTGGCTGCCTCACAGAGTCAGCCTTAGCCACCACCTCCCACAAGCCGCAAAGTGATCTGTCAGACAGCTTTTCTGAAGGGGAAAATTATTTGCTGGAATCTGAGCCAAACAATTAGTAGAATAGAGCTGCCTAAAGTTATCCATCATGTATTCATGGAAACGGATGCATTGTTTCCCAGCACAGCAATCACATATGTTCACAGCATTTCACAGATAATTTTCTATTGGGCTAAGAAGACAAAGGCTGCAAATGTTAAAGATGAAATGGCATGCTTTATATACATCTGCAAATGTTATGGTCAGAGAGAAACCATGAAAAGGGTGATTGGGCTACATACCCCTCACAAAGCTCAGCACGTTTTGTCAGAGTCCCAGAGGTTGGTCCCTGAGGGGTTCGTGGGTCCGTTTTTACTTCCCAGTGACTGGTCATATACTTTAGTATCTTTGTCCATTATTTATATCAGATATATATATATCAGTCAAATTGATAGTCCAATACTCATGGATGTAATACTATGAAGTGCTTTTGTATGACTGTATATGCTTAATAACAAAGTTATTTTTCTTATGTGGGTCTCCTGTGTTTTGTCCTGGTATAAGGAGCCATCCCCTGGCCAACTGAATATAGTGCATCCATTACTTTCTTGTTGTATGTCAAAATATCTATATGAAACAAGAAACTTAAGGAAGGTTTTTTGTTTTGTTTTGTTTGGGTTTCGGTTTTTGCTGTTGTTGTTTGGTTTTGTTTTCTGTTTATGGATTGAGGCACATTTCACCATGGTGGGGAAGTCATGGCTGGACGGTGTTATGGTAGCTGATGACATTGTATTTTCTCTCAGGAAGCAGAGACACATGCTTCCTTGTTGAGCTTTGGCCTCTCTGAGAACTAAGTACCTATCTATCTGTCTCCTTTCTACACTAAGGGAACCTGGAGGGCTGAGGAGACTGGTTGGTTGGTAAAATGTTTGCCACACGAGCATGAGCACTTGCATTCAGATCTTTAGCACCCACGTAAAAAGCCAGGTGCTATAGTAAGTGTCTGTAATCCTAGCACTGTGGAGGCAGGGACAGGAGGGCACTTGGGGCTTGTTCCGGGTTCAATGAGAGACCCTATTTCCAAAAATTATGTGGAAAATGATTGAGAAAGACACCGTTTATTGACCTTTGGCTTCCATTTACATGCATGTACACATTCATACCGATATGTGTAACACACACACACAGCCATCAGAAACAAGAACTTTGCTTTTCTCTATTGTGCACCTGTACAATTCTCCAGCATACAGAAAGAGCTGAATAAAGTAGATTTAACTAAAGCTTACTCTTCAGGAAACCCTAAAGCAGGGGCCTTTATGATGCCACACACACTTCCTGAGAAGTTATTTTGTCAAATACCACAAAGCTAAAACCATCTTTCATAAAGGTATATTTCAGAACATACAAGAATCGCTGTGTTTGTTGATTGTGTAAACATAGCACAATCATACACACATTTTTCCCCACTTGGGAATCACATAAAAGGCCTCCATGGTGCAAAGAAGGTGTGTCAACAAGACAGCACAGGGCCCTTGCTTCCCAATGCTACTCTGCACTAGGTGCTGTGACTGACAAATGCATACGTAAGGCTGTTTAGACTCTCTTCAGTGGCAAAGGAAAAAAAAAAAAAAACAGCAAAGCTAATACAGTTCATCCCCAAAGATAACTTGGAGTCAAGACTTGAAAAGGAAAAGCAGAATAGATTTAACAAATGTTCTAATCCAAGGAACACACGCAATGGTTTGGGATAGTTTTTAAGTCATTTCCTTATTAATAGCCATTGCTGGCCTATTTCACTTTGAGCTGTGTGCTAATGGTGGGGACTCAGAGGTGTGTTCTGATTCTGTCTCTGCACAGGGCTCTTACTGAACAGATAGGGCTCTGGTGGGTCTCAATGACAGGGTAAAGCACAGAGGCCTTGAGAAATGGTCAGATGATAACTTCAGTGGTTTTCAAAGGCTTCTTAGCATGACCAACCGAGAAAGTATGGTTTACACAATATGCCAATGCATGCTCTTGTATACCACTAAAGCAAACATTCTGCAATGTTTACTCTCACCATAGAGTGTATTCTCATGCTCTCACCATATGATAGTTTTTAATTTGGATCACACCCGAGAGTTGTCCTCACAACTTACTGATGGGGTTATAACTTAAAGACCACTTGACTCAGTCATCCCCCTCAAACTCAGCGGTACACACTAATCAGTCACAGGCCTTTGTAAAGATGAAGACTGACCCAAAGTGTTTGAGGTTTGCATTCTTGCAAGCTCCCAAGGGATGCGATGTGTTCATGAAATGAGCTCGATGTAGCGAAGACTCTTCTCTCCCAGGAATGTGGGCTCTGAATCGCACACAGCAGGGCAGAACAAGATGAATTCACAACTCCGCTGGGAGCTGGAAGCTCACATATGGCTGGAATATCCGGATTACTCAGTCCCTTCTACCGCTTTAAAAAATTACGTGATTAGCCCCATGTCTGTGGATTCAGCTGAGGACCTAAAATAGTGGGGGAAACATTTTGTGTCTGAACTGAATATGTGCAGACTTCCTTCCTGCCCTTCTCTAAGCAGTGCAGTTACTTACATAGCGTTTCACTGTAAATAAGTCATCTAGAGATAAAGTCTATGGGTGAATGTACACCACTTTTAAAGCTTACTTTCACACACACATATAATGTACATACATGTGCATCTAGGTGGCTGTATGCCATGTATGTTCAGTGCCCTCAGAGGCCAGAAGAAGTGTCAAATCACCGAGCATAGGTCCTAGGAACCAAACTCAAGTCCTCTGGAAGAGCTGAGATACCTCTCCAGCCTCAAAGAAACCGCTTTCTTTTATAAAGCACCTGAAAATCCATAGAATCTTGGAGCCAAAAAGGAGGTTGTTAGGGCCAATCCCTTGAGAAATCCCTAGAAACCGGAACATCTTAAGAGACCAAGAATTAGAACTTCTCTGATAGGCTGACATGGTGGTGCACACCTTTAATCCCAGCACTCGAGAGGCAGGCAAGTCTGTAAGTTCAAGACCAGCCTGAGCTACATAGTTCCAAGACAGCCAGGGCTACAATGAGAAACCATCTCAAAAAAAAAAAAAAAAGAAAAAGAAAAAAGAAAAGAAAAGAAAAGGGGGGAAAAGAAAAAATAAAAGAGCTTCTCCAGTAACATATATATATATATATATATATATATATATATATATATATATAAAGTTATAGCAGCCAAGTGAAAGACAGTGTCCCTATGGGGGAGGTGGAAAGATACCTAACATGACCCTTGTCCTATTAATTGACTCTCGCCAACCTGGACCCTGGCCTTGCCACAGCCACTAGTATTTGGAGGCTGACTCAGAGTTAAAAGGGTCATAACAAAGTCCACAGAGCAAGTTGACCCTAATAATAAGAATTTGCCACTGTACTTGCATGATGTCAATTACCCCAGCTTCCCCTGGAGACTTAAGTTCCTGATTCTTCTCCATTTCTGGCCTAGGTGACTACTTAGGTTCCGGATTAACTCTGTCCCAGTGTCCTCTGCTGCTTTTGGTCCTTTTCTGCCTCTAACATCCCTACAGAATCCCTGGAAAAGGGAGCCAGTGAGAAAATGATGAAGTCGGAAGGAAGTTGGTATCTGCAGGCCCTGCAGGGTCATATTTTGCTATCACTTTTGTGGTGTGTGGGGATGGAACCATTTCCAAAGTCAGCTTTGGTTTTTAAACTATAGTTGTGAATGCCCTTGAGTCTGGCACCACAGCAGTAACATAGCAGCACGGAGCACCTACCCTGGCTCATCTTAGAGGTTGCTGTGACCTTTCCAAGAGAGTCTTCTGCAGAGAATGTGCAGCCTGCCTCGTGCCATGTGACATAAAAAAAAAAAAAAAAAACCACGTCATGTGGAAGAAATACTCTTTCCCATGTATTGACAGGATCATTCATCGACAATTTAGTAAAAACCTCAGCCCAAACCAGCTAATCACATACATTAAACACAGAGAGCCATCTGTGGACAATTTGCCTTCTGGAAAAGAAAAAGGTGCCACAAATTGAATTAGGCACCGATTATTCTGGAAGGAAATAACAGCTGGAAAATAATTTGAAAAGCGATTCCTTCAAAGTAGTCTTCCAGGGCACCAGGGAAACACATTTCTTCTTCCAAGTTTCCTTCTATTAACACTGCTACTGCTGACTCTGAGTCCCAAGTCTACCCATCAGATTGATAAGAGTTTTGTCTACAAACATCTCCATAACATGGGATGAAAATCTTTGATATGATTTGATCTGGGTATTCCAAATACATGAAACTGGGCCCCTGCAACACACAGGAACTGTTTCAGTAGAAATACATCTGGGTTCTGGGTCAACAGAGTACTTTCTTTTAGCTCTATGGAGGAATCGGTGACTTGGTCTGCACCTACATCGTCACTGACTTACCCCATGGTCACTACACTTGAAGCTGCATGCCAGTGACTGGGCCATCGTCAGAGGGAACCAGATGCCCCTGCTCCTGCTTTCTCTCCTGCACTAAGTATGAGCTTGCAGGCTCAGTAAAATCCAAAAGGCCTGTTCAGGAAACAGAACTGCCAGGTTGAAACCAAATTGTGTTGTAGTCCCAAAGCAGGGAACAAAACCCACCAGGAAGCCCCGAATTCTAAAGTAAAGTTCAGAGGACAGGTGAGGAGCTACTGAACGAACAGCTTCTATGCAGAGTGTTCTCTCTCTCTCTCTCTCTCTCTCTCTCTCTCCCTTCCTCCCTCCCTCCCTCCCTCCCCATCCAACCACAGACTGAAGGAAGACCATGGAGACAGCCACAGAGAGAGCAGAGTATCTTGATGACAAATGAGTTCTTACCAGTTAGTCCCTACCCATCCCCATAGCTAAGAGGAAGGGGGCCAAAGGGTCTTTGTCATTGCAAGGTACCAGGTACCCTTGTTGGGCAGGTGTTGAGCTGCAGAATTCACAGGTCCCTGCTGTGTGTTTCCAGAGCAAGGCTGGGCATGAAGATTCCCAGAAGGAGAGACTAGTCTGTGAATCTGATTGGTTGTCCTTTTAAGGATGGAGAGGGGCCTGCAAGAGGTGACATACTTGTATGTAGACTAATGGTTACTCGTGCGAAGTTGGAGGCCTGGTGAGAGCAGTCTCTGGGACTATAGGTGATGGCCCCACTGTGAACAAGGGGACCTTCCTGTCTGTGAAAGGACACAGAGGTAAGTGGAGAGCAAGTCCAGCACGGGGTATCTGCCACCTTCCTCTGAGGCATCAGCAAAGCTGGCCCTCTAACTCCTACCACGTACCTGCCCTCTGAGAAATTGAATTAGCAGAGGCAGAGGAGTGAAGACATTAGAACCAGACCCCGACTCCCTTCCCACAGCCCTTGCATCCTTGGAATGGGGAGCAGTGACAAGCTGAGGGTCCAGCCAAGCGCAAGGTTCAAGGTTTTCAGAATACAGAAGTGAACTAACAGAAAGGTAACAAGGTTGAAACGGGTATGAAAGGATT